CCCCCTCGCCAAGCATGAACAATGAGTGATTGGCCGTTGAGGGAGTGAAGCCGATCTCCTCCAAAACTCCTCGCAACTTCAAGTACCACTGCCTAGGGGCCTGCTTCAGTCCATAAAGGGCCTTTTTCAGCTTCAAAACTTTGCCGCTACCATCATCGAACCCCTCTGGCTGCGCCATGAAAATCTCTTCCTCTAGGACGCCGTTGAGGAATGCCGTTGTGACATCCATTTGTTTCACCACCCATCCTTTGATGGTAGCTCCCGCGAGTAGGGTTCTCAGCGTCGTCGGCTTCACCACAGGAGCAAACAACTCCTTATAGTCCACCTTCTCCTTCTGCTGGTACCCCTTGGCCACAAGCCTAGACTTGTAGCGCTCGATCTTTCCATCGGCGTCGGACTTGATCTTGAAGAGCCACTTGGACGTAATCGCCTTACGCCCCTACGGTAGCTCCACCAATTCCCACGTGCCGTTCTCCTCAATGATTTTCAGCTTACTCTCCATTGCCTTCTTCCACTCCTCAGCATCACTACTCTCCAAGGCCTCCTTGAGAGTTGCTGGTTCCCCCGGCATCTCCACCGGAGAGAAGAACGCGAAGGCACACTCCTCGTAGTCACTCTCCTTGTCATCTCCAACTATAAGTGCCGCTCCGGCCAAGGCTGACTTGGCTGGCTTTCCCAGTGCATCATAGGTCAGCCTATTAGGGGCTTGAATTCTCCTCTTGCCCCTTCCTTCCTCCTCAGCTGCAGGGACATGAAGGCCTTGGCGTTGCTGCGGGGTGACTCGGATCCGTGGAGCACTCGTAGTGCGAGAAGGAAGTGTCGGTGCACGCTCGCTCACTTGCTGCACCTCCTCCTCTTCTTCCTCTGCATCCTTGGCCTCCTCTCCCCCATTCACAAGGGTAGATTGCCTTGTGGTGGTGCTGCTGCTGCTCAGCTCCAAGGGCAGCTCCACATGCTCCAAACCGGAACTCTTCACCTCCCCAAACCGCATGCCTATCTTCGCCTCATTCTCCGTCTTCCAAACCTTGTACATCAGATTCTCCATGAATTTGCAGTCCCTGCTCACCAAGAATTTCTTAGTGAATGTGTCCCAAAGAAGCCACCCCTTGCTGTTTTGAGCCATGCCCAAGTGCACAGCCCATATCGCCTTGGCACCGAGCTTGTTGTGCCGAAGATGCTTAGGCACGAGCGCCATGCACATGCACCTGAACACCCGAAGCATATCCACCTTTGGCTTCCTTCTAACCCACTCCACATAGGGCACCCATTTGTCTGCTCCCACATGAGTCAAAGCTCTGTTCTTGGCCACACACGCACTCCGCACCGCATCAGGCCAGAATTAATCGGGTAGCCCGGCTTCAATGAGCAACCCACGCGCCGTCTCCGTGATTGTCCGGTTCGCTCGCTCGGCGATGCCGTTCATTGCAGGAGAGTATGGCATGGTAAGGGAGTGCCTTATGCCATTCTTCTTCAGCCACAATGACAACTCCTTGCTCAGGAACTCTCCCCCTCGATCGGTGCGAATTGCCTTCACTAGCCGGTCTTGTTGCCGCTCCACCATCGGCAACCAATCGGTCTTCACCGTTTCAGCCACGTCACTCTTCTTGGACAGCACGTACACCCAAGTCATGCGAGTGTAGACATCCACAATGGTGAGAAAGTACTCAGCTCCAGCAGCTCCAAGCTTCAAGGGGCCCACCACGTCCATCACCACCTCATCAAGTGGTGCCTTAGCCGTTGCCTCCGAACTAGAGAACGGGTAACGGGTGAATTTGGCTTGCATGCACGTCGGGCAGCCAAGTACCTCATCGGGCTCCCCCTTCACACGTATGCCAGCAACCATCTCATCCTTCACTAGCTGCTGCAAGATGGGCAGGGCCACATGCCCCATTCGCCGATGCAAGGTGAGCCAATCACACTCCCCCGTAGCCGAAGTCGGATTGGAGAATGCCGCACTCGCAATGGTGCCCCACATGCTCTCTCCGTACTCCTCCTCCGCTAGTGCCTTGGGGTTCTCCTCACCCTTGTGCTGCTCCTTGGCTGCTGCACCACTCTCCTCATGTTCACCAAGCTTGCTGGTCCCTCCAAGATTGCACTTCTTAGACTCAATCTCCTTAGCACGACCGTTCGTGCCATCGCCGCTACCAACCGCTTCACCCTTGGTGCTGATGCTTGCTGCCACTTGCCTCTCCTTAGGCATGGGGACCACAGGGATCTGCCACATCTCGTTGTAGACATCCCTATCCTCATGAAGGTTCCAAAGAATCCGCTCGCCAAGCCTCGCGGTGTAGGTCTTAGCTCCCTTCGAGCTCGTGTCCATGCCGGCCTTTTGCAACCGCCGCACGGAAATCAGGTTGGCAGCAAGGTTGGGCACCCAAAGCACGTTATTGAGGCCCACCATCTTCCTATCAGCACCCTTGAACATGGCCTTGCCCATGCCTTTCACCTCTGCTCGCTGCCCCAAAGCCGATGTCACATGCTTCACCGGTGACGGCTCAAGTTCGGTGAGCAAGTCCGCACGAGGTGTCATGCTATAGGTAGCGCCGCTATCGATCACCCAATAGTCCAGGGAGTGTAGGTTGACTTTCCCCACAGCTGCTGGCTCCTCAAAGCTTTCATCCTTCTCTGGACCAGCCGGTGCTTGTGTGGACACGAAGAAGAATTGACCCGGAAAGCGATCGTCCCTCGACTCGCTCTCGTTGCCGGCACTCTTCATACTTGCAGCACCACCTCCGCGACCGCCACGGCCTCCACGGCCTCTTCCTCTCCCTCCTCCTGCTCCTCTACCCTCTTGGCCTTGAGCAGGAGTCCATCCATCAGGGAGTTTGTAGCAATCGCGCCACATGTGTCCGCTCTTGTGGCAAAAATGACACTCGCCGTCGAACCGTCCGCGACCGCGTCCGTTGTTCTTGTTATCATTGCCGTATCCGCTACTCCCGCGGCCTCCGTTGAAGTTGCTGCCTCCAAACCTTCCTCCTCCACGTCCTCTGCCCCTTCCACGGCCATATCCACGGCCGATGCTTGCTGCCCCGGCGCCATCCGCACTCGCCAACTTACGGCGACGGAAATCCTCTTGAAGGATCGCTCGCTTCACGTCTTCGAGCGAGAGGCGGGGCAAGTCACGATTGAGGTTGATGATGAGAGAGGACCATGACTCTGGGAGTAAGGCCAGCAATTTGGTCTTCTTTTGGAGCTCACTGTAGTTCAAATCAGCTCCCTCAAGCCGCGTCAACAAGTCGAAGAATTTCTGCACCCCTTCTTCAACCGCTTCGTCTTCTTCAATTCGTAATGCCGCCATTTGCCGTTCCAACACCACCGCTACCGCCGCTGTTGCAGGAGCGTGTACACCCTTGAGAGCAGCCCATGCCTTTGGTCCCTTCTCTGGTTCACGCTGGAATGGCTTGATGTGACGGATCTGGCTGCTCCCCAACGCTTGCCCAAGTAGGAGATAGCCTTGTGCGCTCTTCCGCACCCACGGGCTCTTCTCCGGGTCGTTCTCGGGGCGCTTCTCCGTTCCTTCCATCACCTCCAGCAGGTCATAGTGGTCAAAGATGTTCTCCATCTTGAAGGACCATTCAGCAAAGTTGTCACCGTTGAACTTGTCAAGCCCAAACACCCTAGGCTCATCCCTAGGTGGGCCAAGACTTGGTTGCATGGGCGCCATGGCTGAATCACGGGGTTGGCCTTGAGCTTGAGCTTCTCCACTGCCACCAGCACCTCTGCCACCCCTTTCCTCAGGTCCAGCCATTGTCGAATAGTCACAATAGGCTTGAATGTGCCTAAAACGAAAGATAGAGAGCACAGACGGATTTCTGCACAGCGGCTTCAAACGTTGATAGCGTTCTGCTCACAGCTGCAAATGACTTGATTCAAATTGGATCTGGAGCATCTTTACGTCGTCTACAATAAGCAATTTAGATTGCACGATTTCATAAAGAATTGACGACACAGCGTCGGTTTGAACGAACGGTACTATGGCAGCCACTATAGTCTTAGAACACAAGATAGGAAGAGTTACGAGTTGGGAATGACTCCCAGCTCCTACAAACCCCAAGAGCCGAGGTATAGTGATGTGGAACAGTGCCACACTGTCCCCAACCACGAAGGGTCTCGAAACTACCCTCCACAAGGGCCTATACCAAGAGAAATATTACACTACACAAAGTAATGCAACTATTCTCACTATCTTAAAGTTTACCCTTTTGGAGAGCTTCGAAATCACTTGATTCTTGAAACCAAGGCTCTGGTTCTTCAAGGTAAATTCTTCCTTGAGTTCTTGGAAGTCTGTTGCGCACACCTGCGACACGCCGAACGTTCCACACACGACAAAAATAGAAAACCGCACACGACACGCAAACAACGACGTCGCACGCAAGTAGCGATAACTCGCTATTGACTCGACACACACATTCAAAATCATGCCTCATCATTCACACACTATTGTAAGCATGAAATGTATATTATTTCATGCCCTCTTTCCATTCCATGCACACACGCATGCACGCACACGGACAACAAGCCGAATGCAAACCGTAGGGTTGCACCAACAATGCTCATATGCAATTACATTCCAAGGAGCGAGTTGATAGAAAACGTGTTTGTATGATTGCAGGGATCGCAGGGGATGTTGAGGTGAGTGCATGTGAGAGCATACATGCGCTACCATGCATGTATGTGAGAGCATACACGCTACCATGCATGTATGTGAGAGCATACACGCTACCATGCATGCACGTGAGAGCATACACGCTACCATGCATGTGAGAGCATACATGTGCTACCATGCATGTGAGAGCATACATGCTAGCATGCATGCAAACGCTGTGAACCCACATGAGACTGCGTCAATGAGAGGGTGAGGGCGTGGGTGTGTGTGCATGTGAACGTGAGTGTGGATGCATGTGGGAACATGAGTGGGAATGCATGCAAGGGTATGAGTGTGAATGCATGCGCGAGTATGAGTGTATGTGATGGCACACCAACGAATCAGTTACCAGTGATCAGCCAAGCTGTGCTTGCAGCGCACACACCCACGATCGCAGTAGTGGGGACCACGGGGCACAGGGGAAGGCAGAGAGCAGGCAGACAGCCACCTGGGAGGAGCAAGGAGCAGGGGAAGTGACAATGGGAGAGAGGAAAATAATAAGAGTGCATCACGCATCCCTCACCACCCATGCCATTCAAACTGGTCTTAAAGTCACAAGAACCAACTCACCCCTCACACATGCCATACTAGGCTCCTTGACTTGGCATCCCCCACCACACATGCACTCTTGGGGTACTGAGTAGTCTCATCCCATCAGACACCCTTCGCGTTATTAGTCCCATCAAACACTCAATCGGCCAAAGTTGCTGCCCTTCTAACCACCACTGCTGCTGCCGCACATGTGCTCCTCGTTTCTCCCCTCCCATCCACCCCACTTCCCAAACTCGCGTCCATCCCTCTGCTCCCCCTCCCATCCCTCTGCTCCCCCTCCCATCCCTCTGCTCCCCCTCCCATTCCTCTCCTCACCTGCCACGCCACGAGCCTGACAACCTTCTCCTCGTGCCCCGCCAGGCACTTCACCACCACTGCTGCCACTCGCACCCGCACCCCCTCCTCCCCCTCCAAATCCCCGCTCCACCGGGCCAATGGGCGGCTGACATGTGGCATGTAGGAGGAGGATGTGAAAAGAGGCGTGTGTAGGGCCAGTGGCGGCAAAGTGTGTGGAGGCAGTGTGTGTGGAGGCAAGGAGTGTGGGTGCAGCAGTGCATGGGCAGCAGGAGAACCATCTGAATGCTGCTGCGGCTGCTTCCCCCCCACATGCTCATCCACCTCTGCTTGATTCCTATGTGCTTTTCGTTTAAATGCAGGCTGTTTGGCTTGTTGTGGGAGAGGCAGTTGTGAGAAGCGGTGCAGATGGCGTTTGAGGCAGAGGGGCAGGGATGGTAGTGGGGAGGCGGGGAGAGCGAGGGAGAGGAGGGGGAGAGTGTGGAGGGCGAAGGGTGGAGAGACGTCACAGAGGAAGGTGAGCGCGAAGAGATCTGCGTGGAGCTGCTGGGGTGGTGGGGGTGGAGGTTGGGGATGGGGAGTAGGGGGGATGGTGGGAGTGAAGGGTGGGAGGGAAGGGTGGGAGGGTTGTTGAGCATTATAGCGAAGGAGGGGAGGAAGGTAAGCGAGAGAGCTGCAGGGTGCTGCTGCGGTGGGGAGGGGAAGAGGAACAGGAGGAAGGGACGGAGGGGAGGAAGGGAGAGACAAGTAGAACGGAGGTGAAGAAAGGGAGTTGAGGATAAAGTAAGCGCAGACAACAGAAAAGAATGTGGTCAGCAAAGAGGTGGAAAGATGGAAAGAATGGGGTGGAAAGACAGCTGCAAGATTCAGAGGGAAGTGCGGCTGCATGGAGAATGGGGTAAGATGGAAAACATGGCAGAGGGCGCGACTTGAGCAGCGAAGAGAGAGTGATGGAGCTAGGAGTTAAGGACGGAAGCGTGGAGGGACCCGGTTGAGGGAGGGGTGAAACCGCGGAACAAGGGAGGGGAGGAGGGGCGGCTATTTAGGCGGCACGAAGTAGAGCAGGAGGAGGTGTGAGATGGGAAAGGTACAGCGAGTGAAGGAGGGGGGGGATCGTGAGAGCAACATAAAGAGATACGCAAGCAAGGCATGCAGAACAATGACACCAAAGACGCACGCACACACGCATACCCCACACACCCACACATCCACCCAACCACCACCTTTCTTTTTCCCCTCCACCCCACCCATCCAACCACCCCCCTCCTTTCCCCGTTTTCTCCACCAAATACACAACACACGCACACACGCACACCACGCACATGATAGAATTGGAACTGAACTGATTGCTTGATAAGGAAGGCACTAGGCCTTAAGTACAAACAGGGTTGGGTTGAGCAAAACTAGGGAAAGGATGGGATGGGAATCCTAGCAAATCTCCAATTGGTGAGTTGGCAGATTTGCAGGATTACGAGGGAATCCCAACCAGATAGGGTTGGGATTACAAATCTAGACCCAACCTACAAAGTAACCTAACCGATATAGAATATAGTACAAAGTGTTGACTGACTATTTCTAACACACCCCCTAGGCTGACAACACTTCAGCCACATGGCGGCCCAGCACCCATGGACGAGAGGAGGCGGTAGTGGTCTTGGCGAACAAGAGACTTGGTAAACAAGTCAGCAAGGTTGCAGTCGGAGGCAATGTGTTCAGCCTTCAGCTGCTCGCGCTGCACCAGCTCACGAAGAAAGTAGTGACGGACCTCAATGTGCTTGGTGCGGCCGTGGAAGACGGGGTCCTTTGTGAGATGAATGGTGCTCTCATTGTCACACCAAAGCGTTGGGGCTGGTTGAGGATACCCAAGTTCTGCCAGCAAGAAGGAGAGCCAACGGGCCTCTTGGGCAGCCATGGTCCCGGCATACAGCTCTGCCTCACAGGTCGACAGTGAGACGGAAGACGACCGAGTGGAGCGCCAACTGACAACCCCACTGCCAAGGGTAAAGCAATATCCTTGGGAAGAGCGCCGATCACTCTGGTCATCAGCATAGGACGAGTCACTGTACCCCTCAAGGCGAACAGGGGAAGAGCCGCCAAGAGTGAGCACATAGTCCTGTGTGCCTTTGAGATAGCGGAGGACCCGCTTGGCGGCAGACCAGTGGTGGCTCGTGAAGCGACCAGGTGCAACATAGCGAGACAGGACACTGACTGGATAGGCCAAATCTGGTCGAGTGCACATCATCGCGTACATGAGGGAACCGACGAGCTCGGGGTAAGCCTCATCACATGGCTCAGGTGAGGGAACAGAGGGTGCCGTGAGTTGGTGCTGCAGAGAGAGTGGGGTGGGCATTGAAGCTGCTTCCTGCATCTTAAACCTGGTCAGAACGTTGTTGATGTAGAACTTCTGCGAGAGGGTGATGGTGCGGGCCGTGCGATCATGTGTGATTTCCATGCCCAAATAGTTCGTCAGTTTCCCAAGATCCTTCATAGCCAGCTTCTCACCAAGTGCAGTTTTGACTGCTGCCAACTCAGTCTGATCCTTGGTGACAAGGATCATGTCATCGACATAAACCAAGATGAAGAAGCGGGATGGTGTTGCTCGGATGAAGAGGCTGGGGTCAGAGGTGGATGGGTGAAAGTCGAGGGACCCTAAGGTGCTCTTGAGCTTGTTGTGCCATTCCCGGGGTGCTTGCTTGAGGCCATAGACTGGTCGATTCAGCTTCCATACAGTGCCTGGTGGAAAAGGAGCTGGAAATCCTTCGGGCCGCTCCATGTAGATTTCCTCTCGAAGGATCCCTTGCAGAAACGCAGAGGACACATCCATGCAGACAACCTCCATGTCATCTCGAGCGGCAACATCGAGAAGGGTGCGCAGTGTGGGAGGTTTGGCGGTGGGAGAGAATGTCTCAAAGAAGTCTAGTCCATGCTTTTGGGTAAATCCCTTGGCACAGTACCGGGCTTTGAATACGGGAAATTCGCCTGGAAGTTGTTTCACCCGGAAAACCCATTTTCCCTTCACAATGTTGACGCCGGAGGGAGGAGAGACATCTGTGAAAGTTCCTGTGTGAATGAAGGCCTCACACTCTGCGACAATGGCCCCTAGCCACTGAGCGGCGTGAGGACCAGAAACTGCTTTAGCATAGGTGAGAGGTGTGGGGATGGAGGGGTTGTCCGAGAAGTTGAGGGTGGGAGATTCTGCGATATCTGGAAAGAGGGAGCAGAGTGCGTATATGGCTGAGTCAATCTCAATCAACTCCTCATGTCTGTCCTCGAGAAGGGAGGGCATGAGCGAATAATCACCCCCAACAGGAGGAGGATTGAGAGAGACACAAATGGAAAGGGAAAGAGGCTTGGGAGCTTTGCGCGAGCGGGTGCGACCAGCGATGGGGGAGGGAGGCGGAGCTGGAGGAGGAGAAGCAGCAGGTGTAGTGGCAGCATCAGGAACAGCAGCTGGATCAGGAGGAGGAGCTGGATCAGGAGGAGGAGCAGCAGCAGGAGGACGGCGTTGGTAGGTTTTGAGAGGAATGGGCTCGGGGGCGGGAAGGAGCGGGGGAGACTGCGTGGTGCTGGAAGGGGAAGCGGGTGACGGGGGGTTGGAAACTGTGGAGGGAGCGGGAAGAGGAGGAGATGGAGTGGTGGTAGGAGGAAGGCTGTCAAAGTCATCCCAAGTAAGAGAAGGAGGCGGAGGAGAAGGAGAAACTGTGGAGGAGGGGTAGAACGGGTGGGATTCATCGAAGAAAACATCTCGGCTGCGATAAAGTTTGTTGGTGGTAGGATGGAGGAAGAGGTAGTCTGGCGAGTCCGAGTTGTGCCCGAGGTACACGCACATGATTGTTTTCGGAGCAAGCTTGTCGCCAGCTGCACGACGGGCTTGGGAGTTGAGGAGAACATAGGAAGTGCACCCCCATACACGAAGAGGGTGGACGGACGGCTTTTGACCCGTCCATAGCTCTGCGGGGGTGGTGTGGGTGTGGTGAGGATGAGGATGGAGATTGTGGAGGGCGGCAGCATGGAGCATGGCGTATCCCCAAAGAGAGGGAGGGGCGGAAGCATGAGTGAGGAGGCAGCGAGCAATCTGCACCAGGATGCGGATTCGGCTCTCAGCTACACCGTTCTGTTGAGGGCTGTCTGGGAGGGTGAAGGTCTGACGAATACCCTCAGTAGAGCAGAAAGCTTTGAGAGCGTTGTTGCGGAATTCACCGCCACCGTCAGAGTGAAGAATCTTGATTTTGGTTTTGAAGTGTGAATAAGCATGCCTTGCCCATTCCATGATAATGGATGGGGCTTCAGACTTGGCGGTGAGAAGGTGAACGGACACATAGCGGGAATAGTCATCAACGATGACAAGGAAGTAGAAGTGTCCGCCACGGGAACGAACAGGAGCTGGACCCCAAAGGTCCATGTGTACGCGATCAAGAGGTGCGGTAGAGGTGGACTCAGTGGGAGGATGGGGCTGTTCCCAAAGCTTGCTCTGTGCACAATCAAGGCAAGGTGGTCCAGAAAGAGAAGGGGGTTGTGGAAGTGAGGCGGGCAGCCCATGAAGGAGTTGTTTGGTGGCAAGGTCTGAAAGTGCGCGGAAGTTGATGTGGCCGAGGCGGTGATGAAATAGCATAGTCTTGTCATTGAGGAGGCGGCAATGACATGAGGGGGAGTCTGAGGATGGCAGCGGAAGGTTGGTGAGGGAGCATGTTTGAACGGGAGGTACAACTAGTGTGTACAGGTTGTTGGAGTTGAGGGTGAAGCGGGCAAGATGGAGTCCGGTTTTGGCGTCAAACATGTCACAGTAGTCAACATCATTGGGAAAGATGGTGATCACGCCTGCGTGTTGGATTTCCCGCTGTGCAAGAAGGTTGTAGCGGAGGGTAGGGGCACAGATGCCAGTGACTGTGCCGGATGGGAAAGCTGGACAGGAAACTGTGGAGGACCCATGGCATTGGATGGAGAAGCTAGAATCGGCTCCAAGGAGTGAGGTGGGAGCCTGGTAGGGAACGAAGGCAGTTTGGTCTTTAAGCACTGTGTGGGTGGCACCACTGTCTAGTATGAACTCAATTCCTTGTGTGGTTGAAACACCGATGTACTGCGACCCCTTCTCATTAATAAGACCAGCACCAGAGAACAACAGGTTAAGGCGAACATCAGATGGGGCACTAGCAAATGCCTGAGCAGGTTCCTCCACTGCCTCGACCTGGTTCACGCGACGGGGTGGTGCCCAGTTGGGAGGGCGCTTGTCCTTGGAGACACCGTGGACGTCATACCACTCGTCATCTCGCTTCTTGAAGCAAGTTGCCTCAGGGTGGTTGGTGCCGTTGCATTTCTGCCCCGCACGTGGACCCTTCCTAATGAGGTACTGGCATGGGGGAAAGGAGTTGCGCCTCTGGCCCTGCTGGGAACGAAATGGGATGCCAGGGGAGTAGCGCACAGCATTGACGGATGCCTGGGCTGCAAGGTCCTTTTCGGCAGAGAGAAGGGCCGAAGCGACTTTCTCGAAGGTGAGTTCCTTGGTGGGGAGCTGCTTGAGCATGGAACTGGTGACGTTGTAGGCCGGGGTGAGTCCGACGAGAAGCCCAGCAGCAGGTGCCTGTTCGGGGAAGGTGATCCCAATGTCCTTGAGCTCCTCATGGATGTTGCGGATTTCAGAGATGTAGTCTGAAATGAGGATTGCAACTCCCACGGCAGTTTTGTCATGAAAGCGATCCTGGAGGTACTTCCAAATGTCATGCGCAGAGCGGAAGGTGCGGTAGGACTTGACTAACTCGACTGGGGTGGTGGTGATGAAAACCCTAATCAGTGCCGCATCCGCCTGCTCCCAGAGACTGAAGTCCGTCTCATACTTGGTGGTTTTAGCGTCGAAAGCAAGCTTGGCTGTGGCAGTGGCGCCTTCGCCGAGAGGATCGGGAGGGAGAGGCATCTTCCCCTTGCCGCGATTGAGGAGGATGTCCTTGAGGCAAATCCCCTTGAGCTCCGAGCTAAGGAGGTGCTTCTCCACTCCATAGCACCACTCCCCGAAATTGGTGCTCGTGCCGTTGGGAGCGAGGTTAAGGATGATGAGGTTTCCGACGAGAGTGGAAGTTGAAGTTGCCATTTCGCGCGAAGCGCAGCGCTAAAGTCTCCGATACGTAGCGGAGCGAAGCGGAGCGGAGTTCGGGTGATTTTAAAAATTGAGGAAGTTCGAAACGCGACTTTGGCAATAGAATGCCCGTACTATACCCTGATATACTGCTTCGCCAATGCCCCCTGTTCTGCTTCGCTGCTGCCCCTGTTCCGCTTCTCTGCTGTGCCGCTGACCTGTTCTGCTGCGCCGCTGAACCTGTTCCGCTGCGCCGCTGAACCTGTTCCGCTGCGCCGCTGAACCTGTTCCGCTGCGCCGCTGAACCTGTTCCGCTGCGCCGCTGAACCTGTTCCGCTGCGCCGCTGAACCTGTTCTGCTGCGCCGCTGAAAACCTGTTCCGCTGCGCCGCTGGACCTGTTCCGCTGCGCCGCTGAAAACCTGTTCCGCTGCGCCGATGGACCTGTTCCGCTGCGCCGCTGAAAACCTGTTCCGCTGCGCCGCTGGACCTGTTCCGCTGCGCCGCTGAAAACCTGTTCCGCTGCGCCGATGGACCTGTTCCGCTGCGCCGCTGAAAACCTGTTCCGCTGCGCCGCTGGACCTGTTCCGCTGCGCCGCTGAAAACCTGTTCCGATGCACCACTGGACCTGCTCCGCTGCGCCGCTTAAAACATGTTCGAAGTTAAGAAGATGCGAAAATTGTCACGGAGATATAAAAACCAGAAGCTTACGATGAAGGAAGTCGAAAGCTGAGAATGTCGCCGTTGAAAAACGAGATGCGCGATGAAGGAAGCCGAATGCGCGCTTGACCGGAGCGACGATGTGAAGTTTCTGAAAAACGCTAAGCGTAGGAGCCGGGAACCGAAATAGGCATAGCCTAAAAGGAGAGAACCATCGGGACGCCAAGGATCGGATTCCGCGTGAGCGGAATTTACTAGCTCAATACCATGATAGAATTGGAACTGAACTGATTGCTTGATAAGGAAGGCACTAGGCCTTAAGTACAAACAGGGTTGGGTTGAGCAAAACTAGGGAAAGGATGGGATGGGAATCCTAGCAAATCTCCAATTGGTGAGTTGGCAGATTTGCAGGATTACGAGGGAATCCCAACCAGATAGGGTTGGGATTACAAATCTACACCCAACCTACAAAGTAACCTAACCGATATAGAATATAGTACAAAGTGTTGACTGACTATTTCTAACAGCACACACGCACACACGCACACATGCACACACGCACACACGCACACACGCATGCAAACCCAACCACACCACCCACCTCACCTCCTAATCTCCCTTATCCCCCCCTTTCTCCCCCTCCCCCCGCTCCCCTCGCTCACCTCCTGCTGTCCCTCTGCCTCCATTGCCGCCCGCACCACCAACTCCTGCACGTGTGTCACGTCAGCAGCCAGCGGAGCGAGGCAACCAATCAAGCGCAGCGCGAGACATCGCGATTCAAGGGAGTTAACGGAGTCAAGAGGGCCAGCAGCAAGTAATGATGGGGGCGAAGGGCAGTCACTTGGGGGCGAAGGGCAGTCACTTGGCATGTCTAGGGTTGTGCCTGCTGTGACTGCGGCTGTTGTTGCTGCTGCTACGGTGGGTGGAAGTGGGAAGGAGGAGGAGTGAGAGAGCAGAGGGGCGATACGGGTGATGACTTGGGTTGGGTTCAAGAGCTTCCGAGCAGTCAACACACCTGCCCAGTCCATGGCACCGCCAGCACCACCATCCATGCCAGCACCACCATCCATGCCAGCACCACCATCCATGCCAGCACGATCGGCACCATCGCCAGCACTCTCACTGTCATAATCACTATCGTCAGTGCTGCTCGCACCATTGCCCCTAGCATCATCATAATTACCATCAATGCCAGCATCCCTATCATCAAAACCGTTCATCTCTGCCTCCCCATGGGCCCCGTCCCAACCTTCCTCTCCTTGCCCACTCATCCCATCAAATCCACCATTTTCTCTCTCTCCTTCCCTTGGGACCACTCTCATATCCCTTCTTCTCCCTCCCCTCCACACATCCCTCACTCGCTCTCCCTCCCTCCTACATCGCCAGTGCAGCAGGCTGACGTCACACATGCTGCTGACGTCAGGCATGGCGTCACCATCCGCGTCACACCTCCCAGCACTAAGTACCATTCTCAGGGCGGCAGGTGCAAGTGAGGGGGCAGCGGCTGCAGCTGGCGTTGCTTGATGAGATGCAGGAAAGGGAGGAGAGGGGGGAGAAGGAGCAGGAGGGTAAGGAGGAGATGGGGGAGAAAGAGGGAGAGGGGAAGTGGTGGTGGTGAGGTGGAGGAAGAGCTTGAGAATGCAGAGGCGGGTGGCACTGCTGCTGCTGCTGCTGAAAACATCAGCCAAGTGCAGAACCAGCGAATTGAATCGTGCCACGTCACTCTCAGACACAGGGGCTTGTTGCCGCTGCCCGTGCTCTTCCTTCTCCCACTCCCTGTCCTTCTCCCTCTCCCCCTCCCTATCACCTCCCCTCCTTCTCTTCCTCCCCGCCCCTGCGCTCCTCCCTGGTTGCTGCCCCAGCGTCCATTCAACCAGAGCAGGCCCGGCAGCGAAATTTCGTGGCACTGGGTGGCTGAGAGGGCGGGAAAAGGGGTTAGATGCGGGAAGGAGGAGGGGAGAGAGGGGAGGCGGGCGAGAGAAGGAGGAGAGGGGAGAGGAGGGCAAAACGGGAGAGAGGGGAGATGGAAGAGAACGGAGAGAGGGGAGAGCGGGGAGAAAAGGGAGGTAGGAGGAGAGTGGGGAGAGGGGGAGAGAGGAGACATAGGGAGAGTCAGGAAAGTGGCAGGTGCAGGGCCTGATGCCGTTGCTCGGCAACAAACACGCCAGGCACGGTAGGCACGGTAGGCACGGAAGGCATGCCAGGCACGGTAGGCATGGTAGGCACGGTAGGGACGGAAGGCACGGTAGGCGCGCCAGGCACAGTAGGCACGGTAGGCGCGCCAGGCACGGTTGGCAGGGTAGGCACGCCAGGCACAGTAGGCACGGTAGGCACGCCAGGCACGCCAGGCACGGTAGGCACGGTAGGCACGCCAGGCACGGTAGGCACGGTAGGTACGGTAGGCACGGTAGGGAGGGAAGGCACGGTAGGCGCGCCAGGCACGGTAGGCGCGCCAGGGACGGTAGGCACGATAGGGACGGTAGGCACGGTAGGCGCGCCAGGCACGGTAGGCAGGGTAGGCACGCCAGGCACAGTAGGCACGGTAGGCACGCCAGGTACGCCAGGCACAGTAGGCACGGTAGGCACGGTAGGCACGGTAGGGACGGAAGGCATGGTAGGCGCGCCAGGCACGGTAGGCACGGTAGGCAGGGTAGGCACGCCAGGCACAGTAGGCACGGTAGGCACGCCAGGCACGCCAGGCACGGTAGGCACGGTAGGCACGGTAGGCACGCCAGGCACGGAAGGCACAGTAGGCACGCCAGGCACGGTAGGCACGGTAGGCACGGTAGGAACAGAAGGCACGGTAGGCATGGTAGGCACGGTAGGCACGGTAGGCACGGTAGGCGCGGTAGGCACGGTAGGCATGGTAGGGTCGGTAGGCACGGTAGGCGCGCCAGGCATGGTAGGTAGGGTAGGCACGCCAGGCACAGTAGGCACGGTAGGCACGCCAGGCACGCCAGGCACTGTAGGCACGGTAGGCACGGTAGACACGCCAGGCACGATAGGCACAGTAGGCACGCCAGGCACGGTAGGCATGGTAGGCACGGTAGGCACGGTAGGCACGGTAGGAATGGTAGGCACGGTAGGCACGGTAGGCGCGGTAGGCACGGTAGGCACGGTAGGCACAATAGGCACGGTAGGCACGGTAGGCACGGTAGGCGCGGTAGGCACGGTAGGCACAGTAGGCACGGTAGGCACGGTAGGCACAGTAGGGACGGTAGGCACAGTAGGCGCGCCAGGCACGGTAGGCACGGTAGGCAGGGTAGGCACGCTAGGCACAGTAGGCACGGTAGGCACGCCAGGCACGCCAGGCACGGTAGGCACGGTATGCACAGTAGGCACGCTGGGCACGGTAGGAACAGTAGGTAGGGCAGGCACGGTAGGCACGGTAGGCATGGTAGGCACGGTAGGCACAGTAGGCGCGGTAGGCACGGTAGGCACGGTAGGCACGGTAGGGACAGTAGGCATGGTAGTCGCGCCAGGCACAGTAGGCATGGTAGGAATGCCAAGCACAGTAGGAACGGTAGGCACGCCAGGCACGCCAGGCATGCCAGGCACGGTAGGCACGGTAGGCACGCCAGGCACGGTAGGCACGGTAGGCACGATAGGCACGATAGGGACGGAAGGCACAGTAGGCGCGCCAGGCACGGTAGGCAGGGTAGGCATGCCAGGCACAGTAGGCACGGTAGGCACGCCAGGCACGCCACGCATGGTAGGCACTCCAGGCACGGTAGGCACTCCAGGCACGGTAGGCACTCCAGGCACGGTAGGCACTCCAGGCACGGTAGGCACTCCAGGCACGGTAGGCACGGAAGGCACGGAAGGCACGGTAGGCACGGTAGGCACGGTAGGTGCGGTAGGCACGGTAGGCACGGTAGGCACGGTAGGGACGGTAGGCAAGGTAGGCGCGCCAGGCACGGTAGGCACGTTAGGCAGGGTAGGCACGCCAGGCACAGTAGGCACGGTAGGCACGGTAGGCACGCCGAGCATGGTAGGCACGGTAGGCACGGTAGGGACGGAAGGCACGGTAGGCACGGTAGGCAAGGTAGGCACGGTAGGCACGGAAGGCACACCAGGCACGGTAGGCATGGTAGGCACGGTAGGCACGGTAGGCGCGCCAGGCACGGTAGGCACGGTAGGCGCGCTAGGCACGGTAGGCAGGGTAGGCACGCCAGTCACAGTAGGCACGGTAGGCACGCCAGGCACGCCAGGCACGGTAGGCACAGTAGGCACGCTAGGCATGGTAGGCACGGTAGGCACGGTAGGCACGGTAGGGACGGAAGGCACGGTAGGCGCGCCAGGCACGGTAGGCACGGTAGGTACGGTACGGATGATAGGCACGGTAGGCGCGCCTGGCACGGTAGGCAGGGTAGGCACGCCAAGCACAGTAGGCACGATAGGCACGCCAGGCACGGTAGGCACGGTAGGCACGGTAGGCACGCCAGGCACGGTAGGCACGGTAGGCACGGTAGGCACGGTAGGGACGGAAGGCACAGTAGGCGCGCCAGGCACGGTAGGCACGGTAGGCAGGGTAGGCACGCCAGGCACAGTAGGCACGGTAGGCACGCCAGGCACAATAGGCACGGTAGGCACGGTAGGGACGGTAGGCACGGTAGGCGCGCCAGGCACGGTAGGCACGGTAGGCAGGGTAGGCACGCCAGGCACAGTAGGCACGGTAGGCACGGTAGGCACGGTAGGCACGGTAGGCGCGGTAGGCACGGTAGGCACGGTAGGCACGGTAGGGTCGGTAGGCATGGTAGGCGCGCCAGGCACGGTAGGTAGGGTAGGCACGCCAGGCACAGTAGGCACGGTAGGCACGGTAGGCACGGTAGGCACGGTAGGCAGGGTAGGCACGCAAGGCACAGTAGGCACGGTAGGCACGCCAGGCACGGTAGGCACGGTAGGCACGGTAGGCACGCCTGGCACGGTAGGCACGGTAGGCACGGTAGGGACGGAAGGCACGGTAGGCGCGCCAGGCACGGTAGGCACGGTAGGCACGGTAGGCACGGTAGGGACGGTAGGCACGGTAGGCGCGCCAGGCACGGTAGGCAGGGTAGGCACGCCAGGCACAGTAGGCACGGTAGGAAAGGTAGGCACGGTAGGCACGCCGAGCATGGTAGGCACGGTAGGCACGGTAGGCGCGCCAGGCACGGTAGGCAGGGTAGGCACGGTAGGCACGGAAGGCACGCCAGGCACGGTAGGCATGGTAGGCATGGTAGGCACGGTAGGGTCGGAAGGCACGGTAGGCGCGCCAGGCACGGTAGGCACGGTAGGCGCGCCAGGCACGCCAGGCACGGTAGGCACGGTAGGGACGGAAGGCACAGTAGGCGCGCCAGGCACGGTAGGCATAGTAGGCACGGTAGGCACTCCAGGCACGCCAGGCACGGTAGGCACTCCTTGCACGGTAGGCACTCCAGGCACGGTAGGCACTCCAGGCACGGTAGGCACTCCAAGCACGGTAGGCACGGTAGGCACGGTAGGCGCGGTAGGCACGGTAGGAAGGGTAGGCACGGTAGGGACGGTAGGCACGGTAGGCGCGCCAGGTATGGTAGGCACGGTAGGCAGGGTAGGCATGCCAGGCACAGTAGGCACGGTAGGCACGGTAGGCACGGTAGGGACAAAAGGCACGGTAGGCGCGCCACGCACGGTAGGCACGGTAGGCACGGAAGGCACGCCAGGCACGGTAGGCATGGTAGGCACGGTAGGCACGGTAGGGACGGAAGGCACGGTAGGCGCGCCAGGCACGGTAGGCACGGTAGGCACGGTAGGCACGGTAGGCAGGGTAGGCACGCCAGGCACAGTAGGCACGGTAGGCACGCCAGGCACGGTAGGCAGGGTAGGCACGCCAGGCACAGTAGGCACGGTAGGCACGCCAGGCACGCCAGGCACGGTAGGCACGGTAGGCACGCCAGGCACGGTAGGCACGGTAGGCACGGTAGGCATGATAGGGACGGAAGGCACGGTAGGCGCGCCAGGCACGGTAGGCACGGTAGGCACGGTAGGGACGGTAGGCACGGTAGGCGCGCCAGGCACGGTAGGCAGGGTAGGCACGCCAGGCACAGTAAGCACGGTAGGCACGCCAGACATGGTAGGCATGATAGGCACGGTAGGCATGCCAGGCACGGTAGGCACGGTAGGCACGGTAGGCACGGTATGGACGGAAGGCACGGTAGGCGCGCCAGGCACGGTAGGCAGGGTAGGCACGCCACGCACACTAGCCACGGTAGGCACGCCAGGCACGCCAAGCACGGTAGGCACGGTAGGAACACCAGGCACGGTAGGCACAGTAGGCACGCTAGGCACGGTAGGCACGGTAGGCACGGTAGGCACAGAAGGCACGGAAGGCACGGTAGGCACGGTTGGCACGGTAGGCACGGTAGGCACGGTAGGCGCGGTAGGCACGGTAGGCACGGTAGGGTCGGTAGGCATGGTAGGCGCGCTAGGCACGGTAGGTAGGGTAGGCACGCCAGGCACAGTAGGCACGGTAGGAACGCCAGGCACGCCAGGCACGGTAGGCACGGTAGGCACGGTAGGCACGCCAGGCACGGAAGGCACGGTAGGGACGGAAGGCACGGTAGGCGCGCCAGGCACGGTAGGCACGGTTGGCAGGGTAGGCACGCCAGCCATAGTAGGCACGGTAGGCACGCCAGGCACACCAGGCACGGTAGGCATGGTAGGCACGCCAGGCACGGTAGGCACAGTAGGCACGGTAGGCACGGAAGGCACGGAAGGCACGGAAGGACCGGAAGGCACGGTAGGCACGGTAGGCACGGTAGGCACGGTAGGCGCGGCAGGCATGGTAGGCTCGGTAGGCACGGTAGGGACGGTAGGCACGGTAGGCGCGCCAGGCACGGTAGGCACGGTAGGCAGGGTAGGCACGCAAGGCACAGTAGGCACGGAAGGCACGCCAGGCACGGTAGGCACGGTAGGCACGCCAGGCACAGTAGGCACGGTAGGCACGGTGGGGACGGAAGGCACGGTAAGCGCGCCAGGCACGGTAGGCACGGTAGGCAGGGTAGGCACGGCAGGCACAGTAGGCACGATAGGCACGCCAGGCACGGTAGGCACAGTAGGCACACCAGGCACGGTAGGCACGATAGGCACGGTAGGCACGGTAGGCACAGTAGGCACGGTAGGCATGGTAGGAACGGTAGGCACGGTAGGCAGGGTAGGCATGGTAGGCACGGTAGGCGCGGTAGGCACGGTAGGCACGGTAGGGACGGAAGGCACGCTAGGAACGGTAGGCACGGTAGGCAGGGTGGCACGCCAGGAATAGTAGGCACGGTAGGCACGCCAGGCACGCCAGGCACGGTAGGCACAGTAGGCACGGTAGGCACGCCAGGCACGGTAGGCACAGTAGGCACGCCAGGCACGGTAGGCACGGTAGGCACAGTAGGCACGCCAGGCACGGTAGGCACGGTAGACAAGGTAGGCACGGTAGGCATGCCAGGCACGGTAGGCACAGTAGGCACGGTAGGGACGGAAGGCACGGTAGGCGCGCCAGGCACGGTAGGCACGGTAGGCAGGGTAGGCACGCCAGGCACAGTAGGCACGGTAGGCACGCCAGGCACGCCTGGCACGGTAGGCACAGTAGGCACGGTAGGCACGCCAGGCACGGTAGGCACAGTAGGCACGCCAGGCACAGTAGGCATGGTAGGCACAGTAGGCACGCCATGCACGGTAGGCACGGTAGACAAGGTAGGCACGGTAGGCACGCCAGGCACGGTAGACACGGTAGGCACGGTAGGGAGGGAAGGCACGATAGGCGCGCCAGGCACGGTAGGCACGGTAGGCAGGGTAGGCACGCCAGGCACAGTAGGCACGGTAGGCACGCGAGGCACGCCAGGCACGGTAGGAACGGTAGGCACGGTAGGCATGCCAGGCACGGTAGGCACAGTAGGCACGCCAAGCACGGTAGGCACGGTAGGCACGGTAGGCACGGTAGGCGCGGTAGGCACGGTAGGCACGGTAGGCACAATAGGCACGCTAGGCATGGTAGGCGCGGTAGGCACGGTAGGCACGGTAGGCACGGTAGGCACGGTAGGCACGGTAGGGATGGTAGGCACGGTAGGCGCGCCAGGCATGGTAGGCACGGTAGGCAAGGTAGGCATGCCAGGCACAGTAGGCACGGTAGGCACGGTAGGCACGGTAGGCACGGTAGGGACAAAAGGCACTGTAGGCGCGCCACGCACGGTAGGCACGGTAGGCAGGGTAGGCACGGTAGGCACGGAAGGCACGCCAGGCACGGTAGGCATGGTAGGCACGGTAGGCACGGTAGGGACGGAAGGCACGGTAGGCGCGCCAGGCACGGTAGGCATGGTAGGCGCGCCAGGCACGGTAGGCAGGGTAGGCACGCCAGGCACAGTAGGCACGGTAGGCACGCCAGGCACGCCAGGCACGGTAGGCACGGTAGGCACGCCAGGCACGGTAGGCACAGTAGGCACGGTAGGCACGGTAGGGACGGAAGGCAAGGTAGGCGCGCCAGGCACGGTAGGTACGGTAGGCACGGTAGGGACGGTAGGCACGGTAGGCGCGCCAGGCACGGTAGGCAGGGTAGGCACGCCAGGCACAGTAGGCACGGTAGGCACGCCAGGCATGGTAGGCATGATAGGCACAGTAGGCAAGCCAGGCACGGTAGGCACGGTAGGCACGGTAGGCACGGTAGGGACGGAAGGCACGGTAGGCGCGCCAGGCACGGTAGGCAGGGTAGGCACGCCAGGCACAGTAGGCACGGTAGGCACGCCAGGCAAGCCAAGCACGGTAGGCACGGTAGGAACGCCAGGCACGGTAGGCACAGTAGGCACGCTACGCACGGTAGGCACGGTAGGCACGGTAGGCACAGAAGGCACGGTAGGCACGGTAGGCGCGGTAGGCACGGTAGGCACGGTAGGCACGGTAGGGTCGGTAGGCATGGTAGGCGCCAGGCACGGTAGGTAGGGTAGGCACGCCAGGCACAGTAGGCACGGTAGGCACGCCAGGCACGCCAGGCACGGTAGGCACGGTAGGCACGGTAGGCACGGTAGGCACGCCAGGCACGGTAGGCACGGTAGGGACGGAAGGCACGGTAGGCGCGCCAGGCACGGTAGGCACGGTTGGCAGGGTAGGCACGCCAGCCACAGTAGGCACGGTAGGCACGCTAGGCACGCTAGGCACGGTAGGCATGGTAGGCACGCCAGGCACGGTAAGCACAATAGGCACGGTAGGCACGGAAGGCACGGAAGGCACGGTAGGCACGGAAGGCACGGTAGGCACGGAAGGCACGGTAGGCACGGTAGGCACGGTAGGCACGGTAGGCACGGTAGGCGCGGCAGGCACGGTAGGCTCGGTAGGCACGGTAGGGACGGTAGGCACGGTAGGCGCGCCAGGCACGGTAGGCACGGTAGGCAGGGTAGGCACGCAAGGCACAGTAGGCACGGTAGGCACGCCAGGCACGGTAGGCACGGTAGGGACGGTAGGCACGGTAGGCGCGCCAGGCACGGTAGGCACGGTAGGCAAGGTAGGCACGCCAGGCACAGTAGGCACGGTAGGCACGCCAGGCATGCCAGGCACGGTAGGCACGGTAGGCACGCCTGGCACGGTAGGCATGGTAGGCACGGTAGGCACAGTAGGAACGGTAGGCACGGAAGGCACGGTATGCACGGTAGGCACGGTAGGCGCGGCAGGCACGGTAGTCTCGGTAGGCACGGTAGGGACAGTTGGCACGGTAGGCGCGCCTGGCACGGTAGGCACGGTAGGCAGGGTAGGCACGCAAGGCACAGTAGGCACGGTAGGCACGCCAGGCACGGTAGGCACGGTAGGCACGGTAGGCACGCCAGGCACGCTAGGCACGGTAGGCACGGTGGGGACGGAAGGCACGGTAGGCGCGCCAAGCACGGTAGGCACGGTAGGCAGGGTCGGCACGGCAGGCACAGTAGGCACGGTAGGCACGCCAGGCACGGCAGGCACAGTAGGCACGGTAGGCACGCCAGGCACGGTAGGCACAGTAGGCACGCTAGGCACGGTAGGCACGGTAGGCACGGTAGGCACAAAAGGCACGGAAGGCACGGTAGGCACGGTAGGCACGGTAGGCACGGTAGGCGCAATAGGCACGGTAGGCACGGTAGGGTCGGTAGGCATGGTAGGCGCGCCAGGCATGGTAGGTAGGGTAGGCACGCCAGGCATAGTAGGCACGTTAGGCACGCCAGGCACGCCAGGCACGGTAGGCACGGTAGGCACGCCAGGCACGGTAGGCATGGTAGGCACGGTAGGGACGGTAGGCACGGTAGGCGCGCCAGGCACGGTAGGCACGGTAGGCAGGGTAGGCACGCCAGCCACAGTAGGCACGGTAGGCACGCCAGGCACAGTAGGCACAGTAGGCATGCCTGGCACGGTAGGCACGGTAGGCACGGAAGGCACGGAAGGCACGGTAGGCACGGAAGGCACGGTAGGCACGGAAGGCACGGAAGGCATGGTAGGCACGGTAGGCACAGTAGGCACGCCAGGCACGGTAGGCACGGTAGGCACGCCAGGCACGGTAGGCACAGTAGAAACACCAGGCACGGTAGGAACGGTAGGCACAGTAGGCACGGTAGGCACGGTAGGAACGATAGGCACGGTAGGCACGGTAGGCACGGTAGGCACGGTAGGCGCGGTAGGCACGGTAGGCACGGTAGGGACGGTAGGCACGGTAGGCACGCTAGGAACGGTAGGCACGGTAGGCAGGGTAGGCACGCCAGGAACAGTAGGAACGGTAGGCACGCCAGGCACGCCAGGCACGGTAGGCACGGTAGGCACGGTAGGCACGCCACGCACGGTAGGCATAGTAGGCACGCCAGGCACGGTAGGCACGGTAGGCACAGTAGGCACGCCAGGCACGGCAGGCACGGTAGGCAAGGTAGGCACGGTAGGCACGCCAGGCACGGAAGGCACGGTAGGCACGGTAGGGACGGAAGGCACGGTAGGCGCGCCAGGCACGGTAGGCACGGTAGGCAGGGTAGGCAGGGTAGGCATGCCAGGCACAGTAGGCACGGTAGGCACGCGAGGCACGCCAGGCACGGTAGGCACGGTAGGCACGCCAGGCACAGTAGGCACAGTAGGCACGCCAGGCACGGTAGGCACGGTAGGCACGGTAGGCCCTGGTAGGCACAGTAGGAACGGTAGGCACGGTAGGCACGGTAGGCACGGTAGGCGCGGTAGGCACGGTAGGCATGGTAGGCACAATAGGCACGGTAGGCATGGTAGGTGCGGTAGGCACGGTAGGCACGGTAGGGATGGTAGGCACAGTAGGCGCGCCAGGCACGGTAGGCACGATAGGCAGAGTAGGCACGCCAGGCACAGTAGGCACGGTGGGCACGCCAGGCATGCCAGGCGCGGTAGGCACGGTAGGAACGCCAGGCACGGTAGGCACGGTAGGCACGGTAGGAACGGTAGGCACGATAGGCACGGTAAGCACGGTAGGCACGGTAGTCACGGTAGGCACGGTAGGGATGGTAGGCACAGTAGGCGCGCCAGTCACGGTAGGCACGATAGGCAGGGTAGGCACGCCAGGCACAGTAGGCACGGTAGGCACGCCAGGCATGCCAAGCACGGTAGGCACGGTAGGCACGCCAGGCACGGTAGGCACGGTAGGAACGGTAGGCACGGTAGGAACGGTAGGCACGGTAGGCACGGTAGGCACGGTAGGCAGGGTAGGCACGCCAGGCACGGTAGGCACGGTAGGCACGCCAGGCACGCCAGGCACGGTAGGCACGGTAGGCACGGTAGGCACGCCAGGCACGGAAGGCACAGTAGGCACGCCAGGCACGGTAGGCACGGTAGGCACGGTAGGAACAGAAGGCACGGTAGGCATGGTAGGCACGGTAGGCACGGTAGGCACGGTAGGCGCGGTAGGCATGGTAGGCATGGTAGGGTCGGTAGGCACGGTAGGCGCGCCAGGCATGGTAGGTAGGGTAGGCACGCCAGGCACAGTAGGCACGGTAGGCACGCCAGGCACGCCAGGCACTGTAGGCACGGTAGGCACGGTAGACACGCCAGGCACGATAGGCACAGTAGGCACGCCAGGCACGGTAGGCATGGTAGGCACGGTAGGCACGGTAGGCACGGTAGGAATGGTAGGCACGGTAGGCACGGTAGGCGCGGTAGGCACGGTAGGCACGGTAGGCACAATAGGCACGGTAGGCACGGTAGGCACGGTAGGCGCGGTAGGCACGGTAGGCACAGTAGGCACGGTAGGCACGGTAGGCACAGTAGGGACGGTAGGCACAGTAGGCGCGCCAGGCACGGTAGGCACGGTAGGCAGGGTAGGCACGCTAGGCACAGTAGGCACGGTAGGCACGCCAGGCACGCCAGGCACGGTAGGCACGGTATGCACAGTAGGCACGCTGGGCACGGTAGGAACAGTAGGTAGGGCAGGCACGGTAGGCACGGTAGGCATGGTAGGCACGGTAGGCACAGTAGGCGCGGTAGGCACGGTAGGCACGGTAGGCACGGTAGGGACAGTAGGCATGGTAGTCGCGCCAGGCACAGTAGGCATGGTAGGAATGCCAAGCACAGTAGGAACGGTAGGCACGCCAGGCACGCCAGGCATGCCAGGCACGGTAGGCACGGTAGGCACGCCAGGCACGGTAGGCACGGTAGGCACGATAGGCACGATAGGGACGGAAGGCACAGTAGGCGCGCCAGGCACGGTAGGCAGGGTAGGCATGCCAGGCACAGTAGGCACGGTAGGCACGCCAGGCACGCCACGCATGGTAGGCACTCCAGGCACGGTAGGCACTCCAGGCACGGTAGGCACTCCAGGCACGGTAGGCACTCCAGGCACGGTAGGCACTCCAGGCACGGTAGGCACGGAAGGCACGGAAGGCACGGTAGGCACGGTAGGCACGGTAGGTGCGGTAGGCACGGTAGGCACGGTAGGCACGGTAGGGACGGTAGGCAAGGTAGGCGCGCCAGGCACGGTAGGCACGTTAGGCAGGGTAGGCACGCCAGGCACAGTAGGCACGGTAGGCACGGTAGGCACGCCGAGCATGGTAGGCACGGTAGGCACGGTAGGGACGGAAGGCACGGTAGGCACGGTAGGCAAGGTAGGCACGGTAGGCACGGAAGGCACACCAGGCACGGTAGGCATGGTAGGCACGGTAGGCACGGTAGGCGCGCCAGGCACGGTAGGCACGGTAGGCGCGCTAGGCACGGTAGGCAGGGTAGGCACGCCAGTCACAGTAGGCACGGTAGGCACGCCAGGCACGCCAGGCACGGTAGGCACAGTAGGCACGCTAGGCATGGTAGGCACGGTAGGCACGGTAGGCACGGTAGGGACGGAAGGCACGGTAGGCGCGCCAGGCACGGTAGGCACGGTAGGTACGGTACGGATGATAGGCACGGTAGGCGCGCCTGGCACGGTAGGCAGGGTAGGCACGCCAAGCACAGTAGGCACGATAGGCACGCCAGGCACGGTAGGCACGGTAGGCACGGTAGGCACGCCAGGCACGGTAGGCACGGTAGGCACGGTAGGCACGGTAGGGACGGAAGGCACAGTAGGCGCGCCAGGCACGGTAGGCACGGTAGGCAGGGTAGGCACGCCAGGCACAGTAGGCACGGTAGGCACGCCAGGCACAATAGGCACGGTAGGCACGGTAGGGACGGTAGGCACGGTAGGCGCGCCAGGCACGGTAGGCACGGTAGGCAGGGTAGGCACGCCAGGCACAGTAGGCACGGTAGGCACGGTAGGCACGGTAGGCACGGTAGGCGCGGTAGGCACGGTAGGCACGGTAGGCACGGTAGGGTCAGTAGGCATGGTAGGCGCGCCAGGCACGGTAGGTAGGGTAGGCACGCCAGGCACAGTAGGCACGGTAGGCACGGTAGGCACGGTAGGCACGGTAGGCAGGGTAGGCACGCAAGGCACAGTAGGCACGGTAGGCACGCCAGGCACGGTAGGCACGGTAGGCACGGTAGGCACGCCTGGCACGGTAGGCACGGTAGGCACGGTAGGGACGGAAGGCACGGTAGGCGCGCCAGGCACGGTAGGCACGGTAGGCACGGTAGGCACGGTAGGGACGGTAGGCACGGTAGGCGCGCCAGGCACGGTAGGCAGGGTAGGCACGCCAGGCACAGTAGGCACGGTAGGAAAGGTAGGCACGGTAGGCACGCCGAGCATGGTAGGCACGGTAGGCACGGTAGGCGCGCCAGGCACGGTAGGCAGGGTAGGCACGGTAGGCACGGAAGGCACGCCAGGCACGGTAGGCATGGTAGGCATGGTAGGCACGGTAGGGTCGGAAGGCACGGTAGGCGCGCCAGGCACGGTAGGCACGGTAGGCGCGCCAGGCACGCCAGGCACGGTAGGCACGGTAGGGACGGAAGGCACAGTAGGCGCGCCAGGCACGGTAGGCACGGTAGGCAGGGTAGGCACGCCAGGCATAGTAGGCACGGTAGGCACTCCAGGCACGCCAGGCACGGTAGGCACTCCTTGCACGGTAGGCACTCCAGGCACGGTAGGCACTCCAGGCACGGTAGGCACTCCAAGCACGGTAGGCACGGTAGGCACGGTAGGCGCGGTAGGCACGGTAGGCACGGTAGGCACGGTAGGGACGGTAGGCACGGTAGGCGCGCCAGGTATGGTAGGCACGGTAGGCAGGGTAGGCATGCCAGGCACAGTAGGCACGGTAGGCACGGTAGGCACGGTAGGGACAAAAGGCACGGTAGGCGCGCCACGCACGGTAGGCACGGTAGGCACGGAAGGCACGCCAGGCACGGTAGGCATGGTAGGCACGGTAGGCACGGTAGGGACGGAAGGCACGGTAGGCGCGCCAGGCACGGTAGGCACGGTAGGCACGGTAGGCACGGTAGGCAGGGTAGGCACGCCAGGCACAGTAGGCACGGTAGGCACGCCAGGCACGGTAGGCAGGGTAGGCACGCCAGGCACAGTAGGCACGGTAGGCACGCCAGGCACGCCAGGCACGGTAGGCACGGTAGGCACGCCAGGCACGGTAGGCACGGTAGGCACGGTAGGCATGATAGGGACGGAAGGCACGGTAGGCGCGCCAGGCACGGTAGGCACGGTAGGCACGGTAGGGACGGTAGGGACGGTAGGCACGGTAGGCGCGCCAGGCACGGTAGGCAGGGTAGGCACGCCAGGCACAGTAAGCACGGTAGGCACGCCAGACATGGTAGGCATGATAGGCACGGTAGGCATGCCAGGCACGGTAGGCACGGTAGGCACGGTAGGCACAGTATGGACGGAAGGCACGGTAGGCGCGCCAGGCACGGTAGGCAGGGTAGGCACGCCACGCACACTAGCCACGGTAGGCACGCCAGGCACGCCAAGCACGGTAGGCACGGTAGGAACACCAGGCACGGTAGGCACAGTAGGCACGCTAGGCACGGTAGGCACGGTAGGCACGGTAGGCACAGAAGGCACGGAAGGCACGGTAGGCACGGTTGGCACGGTAGGCACGGTAGGCACGGTAGGCGCGGTAGGCACGGTAGGCACGGTAGGGTCGGTAGGCATGGTAGGCGCGCTAGGCACGGTAGGTAGGGTAGGCACGCCAGGCACAGTAGGCACGGTAGGAACGCCAGGCACGCCAGGCACGGTAGGCACGGTAGGCACGGTAGGCACGCCAGGCACGGAAGGCACGGTAGGGACGGAAGGCACGGTAGGCGCGCCAGGCACGGTAGGCACGGTTGGCAGGGTAGGCACGCCAGCCATAGTAGGCACGGTAGGCACGCCAGGCACACCAGGCACGGTAGGCATGGTAGGCACGCCAGGCACGGTAGGCACAGTAGGCACGGTAGGCACGGAAGGCACGGAAGGCACGGAAGGACCGGAAGGCACGGTAGGCACGGTAGGCACGGTAGGCACGGTAGGCGCGGCAGGCATGGTAGGCTCGGTAGGCACGGTAGGGACGGTAGGCACGGTAGGCGCGCCAGGCACGGTAGGCACGGTAGGCAGGGTAGGCACGCAAGGCACAGTAGGCACGGAAGGCACGCCAGGCACGGTAGGCACGGTAGGCACGCCAGGCACAGTAGGCACGGTAGGCACGGTGGGGACGGAAGGCACGGTAAGCGCGCCAGGCACGGTAGGCAGGGTAGGCACGGCAGGCACAGTAGGCACGATAGGCACGCCAGGCACGGTAGGCACAGTAGGCACACCAGGCACGGTAGGCACGATAGGCACGGTAGGCACGGTAGGCACAGTAGGCACGGTAGGCATGGTAGGAACGGTAGGCACGGTAGGCAGGGTAGGCATGGTAGGCACGGTAGGCGCGGTAGGCACGGTAGGCACGGTAGGGACGGAAGGCACGCTAGGAACGGTAGGCACGGTAGGCAGGGTGGCACGCCAGGAATAGTAGGCACGGTAGGCACGCCAGGCACGCCAGGCACGGTAGGCACAGTAGGCACGGTAGGCACGCCAGGCACGGTAGGCACAGTAGGCACGCCAGGCACGGTAGGCACGGTAGGCACAGTAGGCACGCCAGGCACGGTAGGCACGGTAGACAAGGTAGGCACGGTAGGCATGCCAGGCACGGTAGGCACAGTAGGCACGGTAGGGACGGAAGGCACGGTAGGCGCGCCAGGCACGGTAGGCACGGTAGGCAGGGTAGGCACGCCAGGCACAGTAGGCACGGTAGGCACGCCAGGCACGCCTGGCACGGTAGGCACAGTAGGCACGGTAGGCACGCCAGGCACGGTAGGCACAGTAGGCACGCCAGGCACAGTAGGCATGGTAGGCACAGTAGGCACGCCATGCACGGTAGGCACGGTAGACAAGGTAGGCACGGTAGGCACGCCAGGCACGGTAGACACGGTAGGCACGGTAGGGAGGGAAGGCACGATAGGCGCGCCAGGCACGGTAGGCACGGTAGGCAGGGTAGGCACGCCAGGCACAGTAGGCACGGTAGGCACGCGAGGCACGCCAGGCACGGTAGGAACGGTAGGCACGGTAGGCATGCCAGGCACGGTAGGCACAGTAGGCACGCCAAGCACGGTAGGCACGGTAGGCACGGTAGGCACGGTAGGCGCGGTAGGCACGGTAGGCACGGTAGGCACAATAGGCACGCTAGGCATGGTAGGCGCGGTAGGCACGGTAGGCACGGTAGGCACGGTAGGCACGGTAGGCACGGTAGGGATGGTAGGCACGGTAGGCGCGCCAGGCATGGTAGGCACGGTAGGCAAGGTAGGCATGCCAGGCACAGTAGGCACGGTAGGCACGGTAGGCACGGTAGGCACGGTAGGGACAAAAGGCACTGTAGGCGCGCCACGCACGGTAGGCACGGTAGGCAAGGTAGGCACGGTAGGCACGGAAGGCACGCCAGGCACGGTAGGCATGGTAGGCACGGTAGGCACGGTAGGGACGGAAGGCACGGTAGGCGCGCCAGGCACGGTAGGCATGGTAGGCGCGCCAGGCACGGTAGGCAGGGTAGGCACGCCAGGCACAGTAGGCACGGTAGGCACGCCAGGCACGCCAGGCACGGTAGGCACAGTAGGCACGCCAGGCACGGTAGGCACAGTAGGCACGGTAGGCACGGTAGGGACGGAAGGCAAGGTAGGCGCGCCAGGCACGGTAGGTACGGTAGGCACGGTAGGGACGGTAGGCACGGTAGGCGCGCCAGGCACGGTAGGCAGGGTAGGCACGCCAGGCACAGTAGGCACGGTAGGCACGCCAGGCATGGTAGGCATGATAGGCACAGTAGGCAAGCCAGGCACGGTAGGCACGGTAGGCACGGTAGGCACGGTAGGGACGGAAGGCACGGTAGGCGCGCCAGGCACGGTAGGCAGGGTAGGCACGCCAGGCACAGTAGGCACGGTAGGCACGCCAGGCAAGCCAAGCACGGTAGGCACGGTAGGAACGCCAGGCACGGTAGGCACAGTAGGCACGCTACGCACGGTAGGCACGGTAGGCACGGTAGGCACAGAAGGCACGGTAGGCACGGTAGGCGCGGTAGGCACGGTAGGCACGGTAGGCACGGTAGGGTCGGTAGGCATGGTAGGCGCCAGGCACGGTAGGTAGGGTAGGCACGCCAGGCACAGTAGGCACGGTAGGCACGCCAGGCACGCCAGGCACGGTAGGCACGGTAGGCACGGTAGGCACGGTAGGCACGCCAGGCACGGTAGGCACGGTAGGGACGGAAGGCACGGTAGGCGCGCCAGGCACGGTAGGCACGGTTGGCAGGGTAGGCACGCCAGCCACAGTAGGCACGGTAGGCACGCTAGGCACGCTAGGCACGGTAGGCATGGTAGGCACGCCAGGCACGGTAAGCACAATAGGCACGGTAGGCACGGAAGGCACGGAAGGCACGGTAGGCACGGAAGGCACGGTAGGCACGGAAGGCACGGTAGGCACGGTAGGCACGGTAGGCACGGTAGGCACGGTAGGCGCGGCAGGCACGGTAGGCTCGGTAGGCACGGTAGGGACGGTAGGCACGGTAGGCGCGCCAGGCACGGTAGGCACGGTAGGCAGGGTAGGCACGCAAGGCACAGTAGGCACGGTAGGCACGCCAGGCACGGTAGGCACGGTAGGGACGGTAGGCACGGTAGGCGCGCCAGGCACGGTAGGCACGGTAGGCAAGGTAGGCACGCCAGGCACAGTAGGCACGGTAGGCACGCCAGGCATGCCAGGCACGGTAGGCACGGTAGGCACGCCTGGCACGGTAGGCATGGTAGGCACGGTAGGCACAGTAGGAACGGTAGGCACGGAAGGCACGGTATGCACGGTAGGCACGGTAGGCGCGGCAGGCACGGTAGTCTCGGTAGGCACGGTAGGGACAGTTGGCACGGTAGGCGCGCCTGGCACGGTAGGCACGGTAGGCAGGGTAGGCACGCAAGGCACAGTAGGCACGGTAGGCACGCCAGGCACGGTAGGCACGGTAGGCACGGTAGGCACGCCAGGCACGCTAGGCACGGTAGGCACGGTGGGGACGGAAGGCACGGTAGGCGCGCCAAGCACGGTAGGCACGGTAGGCAGGGTCGGCACGGCAGGCACAGTAGGCACGGTAGGCACGCCAGGCACGGTAGGCACAGTAGGCACGCTAGGCACGGTAGGCACGGTAGGCACGGTAGGCACAAAAGGCACGGAAGGCACGGTAGGCACGGTAGGCACGGTAGGCACGGTAGGCGCAATAGGCACGGTAGGCACGGTAGGGTCGGTAGGCATGGTAGGCGCGCCAGGCATGGTAGGTAGGGTAGGCACGCCAGGCATAGTAGGCACGTTAGGCACGCCAGGCACGCCAGGCACGGTAGGCACGGTAGGCACGCCAGGCACGGTAGGCATGGTAGGCACGGTAGGGACGGTAGGCACGGTAGGCGCGCCAGGCACGGTAGGCACGGTAGGCAGGGTAGGCACGCCAGCCACAGTAGGCACGGTAGGCACGCCAGGCACAGTAGGCACAGTAGGCACGCCTGGCACGGTAGGCACGGTAGGCACGGAAGGCACGGAAGGCACGGTAGGCACGGAAGGCACGGTAGGCACGGAAGGCACGGAAGGCATGGTAGGCACGGTAGGCACAGTAGGCACGCCAGGCACGGTAGGCACGGTAGGCATGCCAGGCACGGTAGGCACAGTAGAAACACCAGGCACGGTAGGAACGGTAGGCACAGTAGGCACGGTAGGCACGGTAGGAACGATAGGCACGGTAGGCACGGTAGGCACGGTAGGCACGGTAGGCGCGGTAGGCACGGTAGGCACGGTAGGGACGGTAGGCACGGTAGGCACGCTAGGAACGGTAGGCACGGTAGGCAGGGTAGGCACGCCAGGAACAGTAGGAACGGTAGGCACGCCAGGCACGCCAGGCACGGTAGGCACGGTAGGCACGGTAGGCACGCCACGCACGGTAGGCATAGTAGGCACGCCAGGCACGGTAGGCACGGTAGGCACAGTAGGCACGCCAGGCACGGCAGGCACGGTAGGCAAGGTAGGCACGGTAGGCACGCCAGGCACGGAAGGCACGGTAGGCACGGTAGGGACGGAAGGCACGGTAGGCGCGCCAGGCACGGTAGGCACGGTAGGCAGGGTAGGCAGGGTAGGCATGCCAGGCACAGTAGGCACGGTAGGCACGCGAGGCACGCCAGGCACGGTAGGCACGGTAGGCACGCCAACCACAGTAGGCACAGTAGGCACGCCAGGCACGGTAGGCACGGTAGGCACGGTAGGCCCTGGTAGGCACAGTAGGAACGGTAGGCACGGTAGGCACGGTAGGCACGGTAGGCGCGGTAGGCACGGTAGGCATGGTAGGCACAATAGGCACGGTAGGCATGGTAGGTGCGGTAGGCACGGTAGGCACGGTAGGGATGGTAGGCACAGTAGGCGCGCCAGGCACGGTAGGCACGATAGGCAGAGTAGGCACGCCAGGCACAGTAGGCACGGTGGGCACGCCAGGCATGCCAGGCGCGGTAGGCACGGTAGGAACGCCAGGCACGGTAGGCACGGTAGGCACGGTAGGAACGGTAGGCACGGTAGGCACGGTAAGCACGGTAGGCACGGTAGTCACGGTAGGCACGGTAGGGATGGTAGGCACAGTAGGCACGCCAGTCACGGTAGGCACGATAGGCAGGGTAGGCACGCCAGGCACAGTAGGCACGGTAGGCACGCCAGGCATGCCAAGCACGGTAGGCACGGTAGGCACGCCAGGCACGGTAGGCACGGTAGGAACGGTAGGCACGGTAGGAACGGTAGGCACGGTAGGCACGGTAGGCACGGTAGGCAGGGTAGGCACGCCAGGCACGGTAGGCACGGTAGGCACGCCAGGCACGCCAGGCACGGTAGGCACGTCAGGCATGGTAGGCACGCCAGACACGGTAGGCACAGTAGGCACGCTAGGCACGGTAGGCATGGTAGCCACGGTAGGCACAGAAGGCACGGAAGGCACGGTAGGCACGGTAGGCACGGTAGGCACGGTAGGCGCAATAGGCACGGTAGGCACGGTAGGCACGGTAGGGTCGGTAGGCATGGTAGGCGCGCCAGGCATGGTAGGTAGGGTAGGCACAGTAGGCACAGTAGGCACGGTAGGCACGGAAGGCACGGAAGGCACGGTAGGCACGGTAGGCACGGTAGGCGCGGCAGGCACGGTAGGCTCGGTAGGCACGGTAGGGACGGTAGGCACGGTAGGCGCGCCAGGCACGGTAGGCACGGTAGGCAGGGTAGGCACGCAAGGCACAGTAGGCACGGTAGGCACGCCAGGCACGGTAGGCACGGTAGGCACGCCAGGCACGGTAGGCACGGTAGGCACGGTGGGGACGGAAGGCACGGTAGGCGCGCCAGGCACGGTAGGCACGGTAGGCAGGGTAGGCACGGCAGGCATAGTAGGCACGATAGGCACGCCAGGCACGGTAGGCACAGTAGGCACACCAGGCACGGTAGGCATGGTAGGCACGGTAGGCACAGTAGGCACGGTAGGCATGGTAGGAACGGTAGGCACGGTAGGCACGGTAGGCACGGTAGGCACGGTAGGCGCGGTAGGCACTGTAGGCACGGTAGGGACGGAAGGCACGCTAGGAACGGTAGGCACGGTAGGCAAGGTAGGCACGCCAGGAACAGTAGGCACGGTAGGCACGCCAGGCACGCCAGGCACGGAAGGCACCGTAGGCACGGTAGGCACGCCACGCACGGTAGGCACAGTAGGCACGCCAGGCACGGTAGGCACGGTAGGCACAGTAGGCACGCCAGGCACGGTAGGCACGGTAGACAAGGTAGGCACGGTAGGCACGCCAGGCACGGTAGGCACGGTAGGCACGGTAGGGACGGAAGGCACGGTAGGCGCGCCAGGCACGGTAGGCACGGTAGGCAGGGTAGGCACGCCAAGCACAGTAGGCACGGTAGGCACGCGAGGCACGCCAGGCACGGTAGGAACGGTAGGCACGGTAGGCATGCCAGGCATGGTAGGCACAGTAGGCACGCCAAGCACGGTAGGCACGGTAGGCACGGTAGGCATGGTAGGCACGGTAGGCACGGTAGGAACGGTAGGCACGGTTGGCACGGTAGGCGCGGTAGGCACGGTAGGCACGGTAGGCACAATAGGCATGGTAGGCACGGTAGGCGCGGTAGGCACGGTAGGCACGGTAGGGACGGTAGGCACGTTAGGCGCGCCAGGCACGGTAGGCAGGGTAGGCACGCCAGGCACAGTAGGCACAGTAGGCACGCCAGGCATGCCAGGCACGGTAGGCACGGTAGGCACGCCAGGCACGGTAGGCACGGTAGGCACGGTAGGAACGGTAGGCACGGTAGGCAGGGTAGGCACGCCAGGAACAGTAGGCACGGTAGGCACGCCAGGCACGCCAGGCACGGTAGGCACGGTAGGCACACCAGGCACGGTAGGCACAGTAGGCACGCCAGGCACGGTAGGCACGGTAGGCACAGTAGGCACGCCAGGCACGGTAGGCACGGTAGGCAAGGTAGGCACGGTAGGCACGCCAGGCACGGTAGGCACGCCAGGCATGGTAGGCACGGTAGGCACAGTAGGCACGCCAGGCACAGTAGGCACGGTAGGCAAGGTAGGCACGGTAGGCACGCCAGGCACGGTAGGCACGGTAGGCACGGTAGGCACGCCAGGCACGCTAGGCACGGTAGGCATGGTGGGGACGGAAGGCACGGTAGGCGCGCCAAGCACGGTAGGCACGGTAGGCAGGGTAGGCACAGCAGGCACAATAGGCACGATAGGCATGCCAGGCACGGTAGGCACAGTAGGCAGACCAGGAACGGTAGGCACGGTAGGCACGGTAGGCACAGTAGGCATGGTAGGCATGGTAGGAACGGTAGGCCTGGTAGGCACGGTAGGCGCGGTAGGCACGGTAGGCACGATAGGGACGGTAGGCACGGTAGGCACGCTAGGAACGGTAGGCACGGTAGGCAGGGTAGGCACGCCAGGAACAGTAGGCACGGTAGGCACGCCAGGCACGCCAGGCACGGTAGGCACGGTAGGCACACCAGGCACGGTAGGCACAGTAGGCACGCCAGGCACGGTAGGCACGGTAGGCACAGTAGGCACGCCAGGCACGGTAGGCACGGTAGGCAAGGTAGGCACGGTAGGCACGCCAGGCACGGTAGGCACGTTAGGCACGGTAGGGACGGAAGGCACGGTAGGCGCGCCAGGCACGGTAGGCACGGTAGCCAGGGTAGGCACGCCAGGCACAGTAGGCACGGTAGGCACGCGAGGCACGCCAGGCACGGTAGGCACGGTAGACACGCCAGGCACGGTAGGCACAGTAGGCACGCCAGGCACGGTAGGCACGGTAGGCACGGTAGGCTCGGTAGGCACGGTAGGCACAGTAGGAACGGTAGGCACGGTAGGCACGGTAGGCATGGTAGGCGCGGTAGGCACGGTAGGCACGGTAGGCACAATAGGCACGATAGGCACGGTAGGTGCGGTAGGCACGGTAGGCACGGTAGGCACGGTAGGGACGGTAGGCACAGTAGGCGCGCCAAGCACGGTAGGCACGATAGGCAGGGTAGGCACGCCGGGCACAGTAGGCACGGTAGGCACGCCAGGCATGCCAGGCACGGTAGGCACGGCAGGCACGCTAGGCACGGTAGGCACGGTAGGGACGGTAGGCACGGTAGGCGCGCCAGGTACGGTAGGCACGGTAGGCGGGGTAGGCACGGCAGGCACAGTAGGCACGATAGGCACGCCAGGCAAGGTAGGCACGGTAGGCACACCAGGCACGGTAGGCACAGTAGGCACACTAGGCACGGTAGGAACGGCAGGCACAGTAGGCACAGTAGGCACGGTAGGTACGGTAGGAACGGTAGGCACGGTAGGCACGGTAGGCACGGTAGGCACGGTAGGCGCGGTAGGCACGGTAGGCGCGGTAGGCACGGTAGGCACGGTAGGGACGGTAGGCACGGTAGGCACGCTAGGAACGGTAGGCACGGTAGGCAGGGTAGGCACGCTAGGAACAGTAGGAACGGTAGGCACGCCAGGCACGCCAGGCACGGTAGGCACGGTAGGCACGGTATGCACGCCAGGCACGGTAGGCAAGGTAGGCACGGTAGGCACAGTAGGCACGGTAGACATGGTAGGCATGATAGGCACGGTAGGCACGCCAGGCACGCCAGGCACGGTAGGGACGGTAGGCATGCCAAGCACGCCCGGCACGCCAGGAACGGTAGGCATGTTAGGCACGGTAGGAAAGGTAGGCATGGTAGGCACTGTAGACCTGGATGGCATGGTAGGCACGCCAGGCACGCCAGGCACGGTAGACACGGTAGGAAAGGTAGGCATGGTAGGCATGCCAGGCACGCCAGGCACGGTAGGCACGGTAGGCGCGGTAGGAACGCTAGGTACGGTAGGCACGGTAGACATGGTAGGCACGGTAGGCACGCCAGGCACGGTAGGCATGGTAGGCACGGTAGGCACGCCAGGCACGGTAGGCACGGTAGGCACGCCAGGCACGGTAGGCACGGTAGGGACGATATGCACGCCAGGCACGCCAGGCACGGTAGGCACGGTAGGCGCGGTAGGCACGCCAGGCACGGTAGGCACGGTAGGCACGCCAGGAACGGTAGGCACGGTAGGCACGTCAGGCACGGTAGGCATGGTTTGCACGGTAGGAAAGGTAGGCACGGTAGACCTGGTAGGCATGGTAGGCACGCTAGGCACGCCAGGCACGGTAGGCACGGTAGGCGCGGTAGGCACGCCAGCCATGGTAGGCACGGTAGACATGGTAGGCACGGTAGGAACGGTAGGCATGCCAGGCACGGTAGGCACGGTATGCACGCCAGGCACGGTAGGCACGGTAGGCACGGTAGGCACGCCAGGCACGCCAGACACGGTTGGCACAGTAGGCACGCCAGGCACACCAGGCACGGTTGGCACGGTAGGCATGCCAGGCACGCCAGGCACGCCAGGCACGGTAGGCACGCCAGGCACGGTAGGCATAGTGGGCACGGTAAACATGGTAGGCACGGTAGGCACGGTAGGCACGCCAGGCACGGTAAGTACGGTAGGCACGCCAGGCACGGTAGGCACGGTAGGGACGATAGGCACGCCAGGCATGCCAGGCACGGTAGGCACGGTAGACATGTTAGGCACATTAGGCACGCCAGGCACGGTAGGCACGGTAGGCACGGTAGGCATGGTAGGCATGGTAGGCACGGTAGGCATGCCAGGCACGCCAGGCACAGTCGGCACGGTGGGCACGCTAGGCACGGTAGGCACGCTAGGCACTGTAGGCACGGTAGGCACGGTAGTCACGGTAGGCACGCTAGAAACGGTAGGCACGCCAGGCATGGTACGCACACTGTCACAGGATCGAATTTCCACTCGAGAATGTTGCACCAAAGGTGAGTACAAGGCGTATTTATACTCAGAAATACATAGAAACAACAGATAATCCGAACCTTCGGGAACGCGCTCTTCTAGAATAGATAATCACAAGTGCGCATAAGCACGCAAGCCCATTGGCACTTCGGATTATGGCGAGATTACGCCTTGTACACCACTGTCGGTGCTGTCGGTGCCGTATAATGCAAATGTCGGTGCCGAAAATACCAAATAAGTGAAATAATCGGAAAGCTCTAGAAAATAGAATAGTAGTCCGATTGAGGTGAAATAAAGTGCAAATGAAAGAGGAAAATAAGGAGAATAAGATGGAGTGAAGATATGGAAATGAGAAATATGTCGAACGTCGGCGTACTCTCACACTTCCCCCCCTCAAAGCTGGGTGGTACATGTAACACCCTGCTTGACAAGATAGTCGCGGAGAGAACGTCGGGCGTTACTCATGTCTTCTTCAGAGACCCAGCTGTCCTCAGAAGGATCATAGCCTTTCCAGCGTACGAGAAACTCCAGGGCACCATGCCGACGACGACGATGTGGAAGCACAGATTCAACCTCGTACTCAAGTTCATCATTCGCGAGGACTGGAGGCGGCGGCAGAGGTTGGCGTCCCGTGTAAAGCTTATTTGGATCTTGATAGGGTTTAAGAAGCTGCACGTGGAATCTTCCAAGAAGCTGGTAGGCGCAAGCGGAGTGTGACTGGAGTGACCTGCTCTTCTACGAGGAAAGGTCCGCAGAAGCGAGGTCGTAACTTGGATGGAAGGTGACCGAGGTTGAGGTTGCATGTGTCGAGAAGCTCATGGTCACCAACCGCAATAGTATGATCACCGCGATGGCAATCGGCCAAGCGTTTCTGTGAAGACTGTATGTCCTGTAGACGCTTGTGTGTCCGATCCCAAAGCTGCTGCATTGTGGTAACGAAGTCGTGCGCGGGTTGGACAGTTGCAGGTACTGTCGGCTGTTGTGGAGTTAGTGGATGTCGTCCGTAACAGAGGAAAAATGGGGTCTCTTCTGTTGCGGCATGCTTCGCATTATTGTAGGCGAACTCCAACACCGGCAAGTGCAAGTCCCACTTGTTAATGTCGTCCTTGCACGCTGCGCGCAAGAGTTGTTCCACAATTTGGTTCAAGCGCTCTATCTGCCCATCGGTCTGAGGATGATATGCAGATGACATTGCTAGGCGTGTCCCCATGAGCGACATGAGCTCTTTCCAGAACTTGCTAGTAAACTTGGGGTCCCTGTCGGATATGAGGGTTGTTGGGATCCCGTGCTGTGAGATGATGTGTTTGAGGAATAGCTGTGCCGTTTCCTCCGTGCGTGCGTTTGTATGTGTCGGAATGAAGTGTCCCATCTTTGAGAATTTGTCGATGACGACCAGGATGGCGTCATGCCCCGCGTTGGTAGGTGGTAAACCGGTGATGAAATCCAAGCTGACCACTTGCCAAGGCTGTTCTGGGACGGGTAAAGGCTGAAGAAGTCCTGCTTTCTTCTGCTTACTGCTTTTCATCCGCTGGCACATGTCGCACGAAGTGACAAACTTTTGCACGTCGTTTGCCATGTGAGGCCAGTAGACTTTCGCAATCCCGGCAAGAGTCTTGTTACTCCCGAAGTGTCCAGCGTAGAGCACGTCATGGAATTCTTCAAGAAGCAACTGCCGAAGAGGCGGGTAGTTGGGTACCCATATCTTTGTTGATCCTTTGCGTAGTGCGACGTCGTGGTCCCACTGCAACAATTTCTTTTTCTCTGCTAAGGGAATCTCGGGGTCGATGGTATACCCGTGCGTGAAGAGTCCCTTGAGTAGCGGATTCATCCCCTCAATCTGTATGGCGGCAACGTGTCCAGGTCGGCTTAGTGCGTCTGCCTTATTCTTGTGTCCCGGCTTGTACATGATATCGTAGTCGAAGTGCGTCTCGAGGAAGTCAATCCACCTGACTAGTCGTCTAGAGAGGGTCGGCTGCGTTTTCAGGTATTTTAGGCTGCAATGGTCAGTGTAGACCGTGGTGTTTCTCCCTTCGAGGTAGCATCGCCATGTCTTGAATGCCGTGATGATCGCTAATGCCTCTTTGTCGTGAATCGGGTAGTTGAGTTCTGCCCCGTGCAATTTCTTGCTGAGGTAAGCGATTGGTTGTAGTCCTTTCCCTTGGTCTTGCATCAAGACTGCTCCAACTGCTTGGTCGCTAGCGTCAGCTTCGATGACGTAGTCTTTTTCTGTATCTGGCAGGATCAGGACGGGTGCGGACGTGAGTGCGGTCTTCAACTGCTCCATGGCTTGCTGGTGCACATCCTCCCACTTGAACGGTGTATTCTTCTTCAGTAGATTGGTGAGAGGTGTTGCAATCTTCGCATACTGTGGCACGAACCGATTATAGTAGTTCGCAAAGCCAAGGAATTGCTGAAGTTCCTTCATGTTCTCCGGTGTCTTCCACGTACGTACGGCTTCGATCTTCTTTGGGTCGACATGGACTCCTTGAGCGCTCACCATGTGTCCAAGGAACTGAACTTTCTTCAAGGCAAACTCGCTCTTGGATAGCTTAACGTAGAACTTCTCCCGTCGAAGTATCTCGAAGACACGTCGTAGGTGTTCGATGTGCTGCTTCATGTCCCTCGAGTAGATCAGGATGTCGTCCAGGTACACCACCACGCATTCGTCGAGTAGAGGCCTAAGAATATGGTTCATTTCGGCCTGGAATGTAGCGGGTGCGTTGGTGAGTCCGAACGGCATGACGAGGTACTCGTAGGATCCGTATCGTGTCCGAAACGCTGTCTTATGGATGGAGTTATCCGCCATTTGGATCTGCCAATATCCCGATCTCAAATTGAGTTTTGAGAATACTGTGGCTCCACGAAGCTGGTCAAGTAGATCGTCGATCCGTGGAATCGGATACTTGTTCTTGATCGTCTGCTTGTTGAGGGCTCGGTAGTCGATGCACATGCGTAAGCTTCCGTCAGGTTTTGGTGTGAAAAGCACTGGTGCACCGTATGGTGATGTTGATGGTCGAATGAGTCCTTTGTCCAGAAGGTACTCGATCTGCTTCTTCATGTCGGCCAACTCGGTAGGGCTGAGTCGATATGGTGCTCGGAAGGTCGGTTTTGAACCAGGTTCTTTGATGATCTCGTGCTGGTGGGTTCGGTATGGCGGCAACTGGTCTGGAAGGTCGTCAGGGAGAACGTCTTCGAACTCTTCTAGAAGTTTCTGGATTGCTGGTGGAAGCTCGAGCGTTTTTCTCTCTCCTTCGTCCTCGTTGGTAACCAGTGCAACAAACCCTGCCATGGTTCGCTTCACGTCCTTCTCGAAGCGTGCGAGAGTCTCCTCCGGAATATCTCCCGTGTTGCTCCAATTCGGAAGAGGAACTCTTCTGTCTTGATTGTAAATACTCGCCGTGCGGGTGACCCAGTTGATCTCGGGGTTGAACTTCTTCAGAAAATCTCTCCCAAGAATCAAGTCTAGCCTTTTGATGTTGGTGACGGGTAGGGTCGGTTTCCAGCGAAGAGGACCCATCTGCAGGTGTAACGCTGCTTCGCCGCAGACTTGTAATTTGCTTCCGTCAACCATCGTAGCTGTGAAGTTTGAAGGCGTGTACTTCTCATTGATGCATTCGAGGGTTGCTTTGTCGCATACTGAATGGGATGCTCCGCTGTCCACGAGTGCTTGGAGGCGTCGTCCATTGCAGATCACCTCGAGCAAAAGTGGTTGGCGTTGCTCGTTGTACCCGTTGATCGTCTCGTTGATTGGATCATAGGGCATTTCCCATAGCTCTGTGTTTTCTCCTGGGGTGGCAGATGGCCGGTCCTGCCGTTCCCTATTGCCATGATTTTTTGTTGTCGTCGACGACGTGGTTCTCAAGCTTGTAGTAGAATTCATAGATGGGGTAGATATCGTAGATGTTTCAGATGTTGCAGATGCATCTGTAGAGGAGGTTTGAGGTCGTCGCAGCTTCATGTTGACCTCCAGCTCCCTCTTGAGCTGCTTCAGCGCCACCGACTTCTTCCGTGGGGACCGGTTGGTCGACGTGGGCTGGTTTTTCAGAGAGAGGACGATGTCGTCGTTGGAAGGTCGATCTTCCACGCTCCGTTGTTGGTTCCCCATGCGCAGCTGCTGTAGTTGTCGTACCAGTACATTCTTTTTCTTATGGAGCCTCTCTCGTGAGTTCACAAAGGCCGTAGACCCAAGGGATTTTTTCCCAAGTAAAGCATCCTTGTATGATATTTTGAAGGGGTGCTTACTTTTTACAGGGCCTTTTTGGAGTTGTCCGGGTCCAGCAGGGTCTTGTGTCGCGGAGATTTTATTTCCCTTGGCGATTTTCCCTGGTAGAGTCCGTTCGTGGTTTGAAAAATTCACTCCACGATCCTCCAATATTCGCATTAAATCTGCTCCACTGCTGCGGTCCCTAAGCGCTGAACGTGCAGTTTTCATTTCGTCACAATCGATGAGTCGATGTCCGGGCTTGCCGCAGAAAGAACACTTAGATTTGTTCTTCTTTGGTCTTGCCTTCGCGTCGATTCGATCGAGTTCCATCGGGTCGGCGTACGTGGGGTTAGCCAAGCGTCCTCCATGTCGTCTAGCTTGTCCATGAAGTCGTCGTGTTCCGATCGTGGTTACGTCGAAACGTTCCGCTGCCGAAACGACGTCGTTGTAGCTGCTCCAATTTGCGGCCGCAACATGTTGTCGTGTTTCTTTTTTCAGCCCCGCGATAAATGCTCTAATTTTTTCGCCTTCCGTGACGTCGGGGATGCGGTTGAACAACTCCTCCATTTGTTGCGTGTAGTTCGCGACGCTCCCGATTTGTCGATGACGATGTATTTTGTCGGGGGCGATTAACACTGCATTAATTGGTTCAAAACGTTGTAGTAATCCTTCACGGAACTGCTGCCACGTCGCTTCACCTTGGTTTAATAAACCGCTTCTGCTTATCCATTCAATTGCTGGTCCGCGCAGTAGTGTTGCTGCAAAAAATATTCTGTTTCTGTCGAGTGCTGGTGCTGTCCATCCAATGGCGGCGAAATAAATTTCGATCGCCAAAAGCCATCGCCTAGCGTCGATTTCCCCATCAAAGGTGTTGGGGGCTCGAATTTCTTGGGCCTTGGGAAAATTTCGCGACTGCTGCGAAGTCACGATCGATTCTGCTTCTGTCGCAATTTTCGCCATGACGCGCGCTTTCACCCGAAGTCGTTCGATCCGTCGCGCGTCGGTCTCGCTACTTCTGCATCGCTCGATATAGGTCCCGACAATTCGCAATTGTCGTCCCTGTATCGCAAATGTTTTCGCCAACAATCGAACTCACGATCCTGTTCAAAAAACGCGCGAGGGGGGTTTTTAAAAAAACGCGGAATCTGGTGCTTACCAGCGTCGACGCCGAATTCGTCACCCCCGGCGGTTTTTCGAAGCAGGAATTTCTTGAGCGCGCTGCTTAGTTGAAACTCCGTGAGTGAAAACGGCTCTGATTACCAAGTGTCACAGGATCGAATTTCCACTCGAGAATGTTGCACTAAAGGTGAGTCAAGGCGTATTTATACTCAGAAATACATAGAAACAACAGATAATCCGAACCTTCAGGAACGCGCTCTTCTAGAGAAGATCATCACAAGTGCGCATAAGCACGCAAGCCCATTGGCACTTCGGATTATGGCGAGATTACGCCTTGTACACCACTGTCGGTGCTGTCGGTGCCGTATAATGTAAATGTCGGTGCCGAAAATACAAAATAAGTGAAATAATCGGAAAGCTCTAGAAAATAGAATAGTAGTCCGACTGAGGTGAAATAAGGTGCAAATGAAAGAGCAAAATAAGGAGAATAAGATGGAGTAAAAATATGGAAATGAGAAATATGTCGAACGTCGGCGTACTCTCGCACACGCAAGGCATGGTAGGCACGGTTGGCAGGGTAGGCATGCCAGGCACGGTAGGCGCGGTAGGCACGGTAGGCACGATACGCACGCCAGGCACGGTAGGCACGGTAGGCACGGTTGGCAGGGTAGGCACGCCAGGCACAGTAGGCACGGTAGGCACGCTAGGCACAGTAGGCACGCCAGACACGGTAGGCACGGTTGGCAGGGTAGGCACGCCAAGCACGGTAGGCACGGTAGGCATGGTAGGCATGCCAGGCACGGTATGCACTGTAAGCACGGTAGGCACGGTAGGCACGCCAGGCATGGTAGGCACGGTAGGCACGCCAGGCACGGTAGGCACGGTAGGCATGGTAGGCACGATAGGGCAGCGACAGCAAAAATGCGGAGACAGCACCGTGACACAGGGTGGTATGAATCGGGGACGCGAGGGGAGGTGGGGGAGGAAAAACGCCAGACACGGTAGGCAAAGTAGGGATGGTAGGCACTATAGGCGCGCCAGGCACGGTAGGCACGGTAGGCATGCCAGGCACGGTAGGCACGGTAGGCACGCCACGCACGGTAGGCACGGTAGGCACGGTAGGCACGGTAGGCACGGTAGGCACGCCAGGCACGGTAGGCACGCCAGGCACGGTAGGCACGCTAGGCACGCCAGGCACGCCAGGCATGGTAGGCGCGGTAGGCACGCCAAGCACGGTAGGCATGGTTGGCACGGTAGGCATGGTAGGCACGCCAGGCACTGTAGGCACGGCAGGCATGGTAAGCAAGGTAGGCATGCCAGGCACGGTAGGCACGGTAGGCACGGTAGGCATAGTAGGCACGCCAGGCACGGTAGGCACGGTAGGCAAGGTAGGCACGGTAGGCACGCCAGGCATAGTAGGCACGGTAGGCACGGCAGGCATGGTAGGCACGGTAGGCACGCCAGGCACGGTAGGCACGCCAGGCATGGTAGGCACGCTAGGCACGCCAGGCAAGGTAGGCACGGTAGGCATCGTAGGCACGGTAGGCACGGTAGGCATGGTAGGCGCGGTAGGCACGCCAGGCACGGTAGGCACGGCAGGCACAGTAGGCACGGTAGGCACGGTAGGCACGCCAGGCACGGTCGGCATGGTAGGCACGGTAGGGCAGCGACAGCAAAAATGCGGAGACAGCAGCGTGACACAGGGTGGCATGAATCGGGGACGAGAGGGGAGGTGGGGGAGGAAAAACGCCAGACACGGTAGGCATGGTAGGCACGGTTGCACGGTAGGCACGGTTGGCACGGTAGGCACGCCAGTCACAGTAGGCACGGTAGGCACGGTTGCACGCCAGGCACGGTAGGCATGGTAGGCATGGTAGGCACGATAGGCATGGTAGGCACGGTAGGCACGCCAGGCACGGTAGGCACGCCAGGCACGGTAGGCACGCTAGGCACGCCAGTCATGGTAGGCATGGTAGGCGCGGTAGGCACGGTAGGCACGCCAGGCTCGGTAGGCATGGTTGGCACGGTAGGCACGGTAGGCACGCCAGGCACTGTAGGCACGGCAGGCACGGTAAGAAAGGTAGGCATGCCAGGTACGGTAGGCACGATAGGCACGGTAGGCATAGTAGGCACGCCAGCCACGGTAGGCATGGTAGGCATGGTAGGCACGGTAGGGCAGCGACAGCAAAAATGCGGAGACAGCAGCGTGACACAGGGTGGCATGAATCGGGGACGAGAGGGGAGGTGGGGGAGGAAAAACGCCAGACACGGTAGGCATGGTAGGCACGGTTGCACGGTAGGCACGGTTGGCACGGTAGGCACGCCAGGCACAGTAGGCACGGTAGGCACGGTTGCACGCCAGGCACGGTAGGCATGGTAGGCATGGTAGGCACGGTAGGCATTGTAGGCACAGTAGGCACGCCAGGCACAGTAGGCACAGTAGGCACGGCAGGCACGGCAGGCACGGTAGGCACGGTAGGCACGCCAGGCACGGTAGGCACGCCAGGCTCGGTAGGCACGCTAGGCACGCCAGGCATGGTAGGAACGGTAGGCATGGTAGGCACGGTAGGTACGGTAGGCATGGTAGGCATGGTAGGCACGCCAGGCTCGGTAGGCACGGTAGGCACGGTAGGCACGGTAGGCATGCCAAGCACGGTAGGCACAGTAGGCACAGTAGGCACGGTAGGCACACCAGGCACGGTAGGCACGGTAGGCACGGTAGGCACGGTAGGCATGGTAGGCACGGTAGGGCAGCGACAGCAAAAATGCGGAGACAGCAGCGTGACACAGGGTGGCATGAATCAGGGACGAGAGGGGAGGTGGGGGAGGAAAAACGCCAGACACGGTAGGCACGGTAGGCACGGTAGGCACGGTTGGCAGGGTAGGCACGGTAGGCACGGTAGGCACGGTAGGCATGCCAGGCACGGTATGCACTGTAGGCACGCCAGGCACGGTAGGCACGGTAGGCACGCCAGGCACAGTAGGCACGGTAGGCATGGTAGGCACGGTAGGGCAGCGACAGCAAAAATGCGGAGACAGCAGCGTGACACAGGGTGGCATGAATCAGGGACGAGAGGGGAGGTGGGGGAGGAAAAACGCCAGACACGGTAGGCACGGTAGGCACGGTAGGCACGGTTGGCAGGGTAGGCACGCCAGGCACGGTAGGCACGGTAGGCATGCCAGGCACGGTATGCACGGTATGCACTGTAGGCACGGTAGGCACGGTAGGCACGCCAGGCACAGTAGGCACGGTAGGCATGGTAGGCACGGTAGGCACGGTAGGGCAGCGACAGCAAAAATGCGGAGACAGCAGCGTGACATAGGGTGGCATGAATCAGGGACGAGAGGGGAGGTGGGGGAGGAAAAACGGTTGGAGGGGAGATTGAGACGAGGTGGGGGCGAGTGGAGTGGGGAGCGGGATAGAGACCAGGGAAGGTAGGAGTTGGGGACAGGCAAAGGGGGGCGAGGAGCGATGTGGAGCAATCAATGGGTTGGAGCTTGTCGTCCGTCCCTGCTTCGCACAGACGCGATGGCGCGTGGCCAGGCACGGTGGGGCACAACTTGGTATGACGGGGACACGGGCGATGGATGTGAATGAAGGGGATGTGGGAAGGACACGGCGGGGTATGACTGATGACACTGCGCGGGAAGGAGTGAGACGCGCGGAGTGGGCGGGGCGGAGTGGGCGGGGCGGAGTAGGCAGAGCGGAGTGGGCGGAGCGGAGTGGGCGGGGCGGAGTGGAGGTGTAACGTATGCGGGCTTACCCTAAGGGTTGAACGGCTCCAGCTCCAATGGATTCGATTAGAGTTATGCTGTTGCGAGTGGTGGTTTCAACGGCGACCCACCAGGTTGCGTGGAGCGCAAGGCACACTCGAGACGTGCCATCCAGTCCGCTGACGAGTTTTCGCGGCCCGCCATTGCGAGCTGCAACTGTTGAGCGGAGCAAATCGCGTTCTTTTTGCGATCTGCACACTCGAGCGACTACGATCCACGGAGGCTGTTATGGGTTGTTACGAGTGCGCGGAAAAGCAATATCGAAGCTGTGCCTCGATACAAATGAAAGCCCACGGAAGATGTAGCTAGGCGAAGGACCTCGAAGGCCGAAAGCGACGCGAGGTAGCCTCGTTTGGGCCTGGCTGAGACTCCCTACTAAAAAAGGTCGAGGTTGTACGCGATGTAGCGTAAACCCCAGTCAAGAATTTTAGACTCTGTCCATCCCCTTTATAGCGAGCGTATACATTTGCAAGGCTGTCTAGAATTTCAAGATTAGGCAAACTCTTTCAAATTTAGTCAGAAGTACCACAGGACATATCATATGGCTATAGAATTGCTGCTATTTAGGAAAAAGGTGAAACGGGGGAGACGAAAGGAAGTGGGAAGAGGGGTGAAAATAGAGGGGAGGTGGAATCTGAGTGAGAATTAGAGAGAAGGAGAAGGGTAGAAAATGTTACGCATAGTAATTATTGAAGCATCACTGTGCACTCCTTACCGCAGCAATCGAAGCACGCACTACCAAGGATGAAGGCGAAAAGGCAGAAGTGACGTGAAGCGTCGTACGGTTACGAAAAGGATCTGGACGGTCGGGCAGACAGCATCAGGCAGTAGTAGTGGTGAGGATTCTGCTCGGACAGTTTCGTAACTGTCTGGAGTCGCACGGTTGGATTTCGCTGTAATAAGGGAATGTACCCCTTAGAGTACATGGCTAGCTAGGTCGATTTGTATTCCTTCCTGTACTCTTATTTATACCTTTGTACTTGCATGTTTCAATCATCTCAAGCATTTTACATCCACTCTGTTATTGATGTCAAGGGCCCACCACAACTACTCTTGCGTATGCGAACCTTCCTGAGGTGATCCTAGGGACGATCAACTTCTGATCGCAGCAGAAAATACTTAGAAAATAGAAGAAGAGGGATCATCTCTATTCGGGAAGGTCCACATTGGGTCGCATTTGCGAGCAGACAACGACAAAAGAAAGAGAAAGGTGTTAACTTGCATAGTTTGGCATGGTCCTACATGAATAAATCGTTACTACCGCTACTTCCGCACCTGGGAAGACATGTTTAGGGGCCCTCCTACATAAGAGGAAGGCTCCGTCGAAGCAGATGAAGGCAACGATCCAACCTTCGACGAGCTCACGGTTGGACGAATTCCCTTTGACTTAAGAAGCACCACCGTGGATCCTAGAGTCACCATGTGCACGCATCATATAACAAGAAGACGAATGATGGAATTACGATTTTGATAGAGACATTAATCACCACATCACACCACTAATCGCTAGCGCCGCAAAGGAGGAACGCACAAATTCAACACATGGTACCTAGACAGCTGCTGCGGACTGAACATGGTTGCCTCTTTGACGTTCATACTCAATAGTGAGCCGTTGATAAACGACGTGGAGATCACCATCTCCAACAATCAGACGATATGGGCAAGAAGTCACGGCGCAATCCAACTCGAATCACGTGGCACCAAACTCTCAATCCACATCAGCGACGTTCTTGTCGTTCCGAACCTTCGCTTCAATCTCATCTCCGCCGCCCAGCTGAGGAAATGCGGCGTTGAGCTGTGAACAAACGAGATGGAGTTTCACTTAACCTACCTGAACACTCCAATCAGAGAACGTGAATGGTGTGTTCATCTTGACATAGATCGCATCATCGCATTTGAAAACCCGGGACAGCGCTTGCCTTTTGGCTGGACTCACCCAGACTTGGAACGCCCCAGCCCAAATGTGCTATGCCGTTCTCTTGCTGTGCCAGTCGCCTCGAGTTCAACCCCTAGAGCCACAGGACCACAAGGAGTAGAAGAGGAGGTTACACGTTAGGAAGGATGGAAACAAGAGTTTAACTGGCCGACAATGCAATAACCTACAGGCTGGGACATGACGAATGTCCAATGGGCGACACTCGGAACCTGCTAGGGACCTCCATCTGGACAAGCGACTGATATTGGAGTGAACTGGAACGCGATACAGCCTGCAATTGCAAAAGAACATGATCCAGAACTTACAGAAGTGGAAACACGAGAAGACATCACAGTCAACGTGACGGAACATGCTACGGAGTTACCTGATCCTGAAGATGAAATGTTGCCCGAGTTCGGGCCTCACCTCATTCCGATCACACTCAACGAAAGCTGCTACTATTGCCTCGACACGAAGGAGCACCAATCAGCAGCACTGCGGGAGAAGTCGCCATCAACCAACCCGAAGAAGAAGAAAATCACGACCGGGACGAAGCTTGAGCACCCTATCAAGGATCGCAACTGCTCCCCGTGACAGCCGACACCATAACCTTTGGCGACTATGATGGCGTGATGAGTGGAACAAGGCTAGAGACTCTCTGAGCTGCAGCCATCCAAGTCTTTGCCACCAACGTACTTGCAGACACAGACAAAACAAGAAGCCCAACCGAGGCCAACAAGTTAGCACAAGAAAATCGTCTGAACGCTCGAACGCGCAGACTCCAGCAAAAGCAGACATATGGCATCAACCATCCATCCGTTGAAGTCCTCAACAACCCGATTAACGCCAAGGTTTTCGCGGAAGGCGCTCTACTGTTACCAAACGGCCAACGAAGTCAACCTCAAAAGGAGCCACACGTCTGCCCTGAAGCTACAGTGACACACAAACCAAAAACATTCCCGGCGCTCAATGGTACGAGCCCCTTGACAAAGTTTACCGCGATTTTCTTTGCCTTACCGCTCGTGGACTCATAAGGGAACACTACACGATCACCTTCATCGATGCAATTACACGGTTCCTTGCCTTTGACTGTTTCTATCTATAGCTGAAGATGGCACAGACGCAACCAAACAGAAACTCCAAGGCATTTCAGACTAATGGAGCTCAAAAGTACACGGGAGAAAGGTTCCGCAAAATCTGTGCCGAGGAAGGCATTAAGCGGATGATCTCCCTCCCCTACGCCCACGAGCAGCAGGGGTTGACTAAGAGAACCCTAAACCCTGAACCCTAAACCCTAAACCCTAAACCCAAGACTCTCATGAAAAAGCGTCGTACCTGCTGCCTACTAGCCCTATGCAATGGCCCATGATGTGCACCTACACAACATTTTGTCTTCGAAGGCCCTGCCCAACTTTAGTTCACCATTCAAGGAGTGGACGGGGAATTTTTTGGGCACAATGATATTATGAGTTTTCGGATACATGAAACAGTACATGAAAAATTGAGGTTGCACAAGAAGGGGAATCCACCTCGGCATCGAACATGAGTACTTTGCATGGACCATCCTCGGCTTCGCCACCCACCAGGTCACGCGTTATTGCATCTTCTACGAAAATCTAACGCTGCCACTGATCCGCCAACACTGCAGTGCACAACAGGCAACGAACAACATTTTGCAAGGGGGACGCAGCTACGCAACCAATCAAGACAAAGCCGACGTGGCAGGGCAAGTGCCAAAAGATCTAATCTAGAACGAACCACCCATCCTCCTGTTACAGACGACTTCAATACTCCGACATTCATCGCAACTGACACAGATCCACACGAAGCACTATAAGCTCAGCGTAACTACGAAACTGCTGAAAATTACTCTACCATGGAGGAAGACCCAAACATGGACCCTTATCAAGACACCATTCACGAAAACCTCGGTGACCACGAGGATGAAGATGTCGTGGAAGTCGCTAGCGCTCAAGATCGGGCGGGCTACAGCATGACCGGGTTACGTATTCCCGGCCTCGCCTTCGCTGTTCTCTGGAATCAGCA